GGGCTTGCACGCCAAATTGACCCTCCTCGGAGTTATTAGCCCGAGCTCCATAGATGCCAGATTCATGCGCCAAGAGGGGCCGCAGCATCGGGGGAGGGGGCTGGGGTGGCGGGAAGCGATTGGACTAAGCTCCAGAAACAGCCAGATGCGGATGAAGGGATTAAGTCGGGTCTGGTGCCTGGGTTTTTGTCCACCCACCCACCATCCCATTCCCTCCCCGTCCCATGCGGCGTCCCACCCCCACCCCACAGGCTGCCACGTCACAGACAGCAGAATTTTCAGCAGCTGGTTTGTTCTCAAGGTAAAATGGGTGAGAGGTCAAAAATGATAGCCAAGGTCACCAGAAGCCGGACAGCTGAGCTCCCAAATGCTCTAAGTTGACAATGTCAGAGGAGCATCCAGGAATGCGGTGGAGGGTCTGGAGGGCTTCTCCTCCTTAGAAGGACCGACGGTGTGACTTCCTCTGCATAACTAAATAGCAGGGCCCTTCAATTTCTTGAAAAGAAACATCTGTGGCTTCCGTTTTAGGGTAGGAAAGGCATTCTCCTTGAGTCAGAGAAAAGATTCAAGTTATCTGGAAGTCATTTTTCTTAAGAAAATCTCCAAGGCCAGAAACCCCAGAATTCAAATTAATGATATATTCAGGGGCCTCCCAACTTTTCAGTATTGAAATTTTTTATCACTTTGACCCAAAGGACATATGTACTGCCCTTGGGGCCTGTTCCCTTTTTCTACCTTCAGTGAAATCAGAGTCGATGCTAACTTTAATTCACTCATTTATCTAACTGACTCAAGACTTTTGCATTAATAATTAAACAGTAGATAATCCACAAGTAATTTCCATTTGGCGGTGAGTATGTGAAAGCTTTTCCTTGTACTAAATTTACCTGCCTGTTTATGTTTTCTTCATGGTAGCGCTGACCTTGGCTCTCTCCTCTGGGGCTGAGCTCTGTTCTCACTTGGTGGTAGGGGGGTCTTTCTAAAGCGCATCAGGAACACTGCAGAAGCCAGGCCAGGAGAAATGACTCATTTGCCAACTCCCTCCAGGCAGCGACCATGACTTTGCTTCCCACGTAGCACCTTGCATGCATCAATAACTTTTTTTGACTGAATGAAATAAAATCAGATGCCTTTGTATTTTTTGCTAATTCAGTGAAAAGCTTTGTTTATCAAAGTGAGAGCTGAAGTGAATAACTGGAGAGTGGCTTAACTGAAAAGATTTTTGTAATCATGGTCAGAGGTGAACGGTACTATTATCAGCGCTCGGCATATCTGACTAGGAGGTATTTCACAATTTGAGACACAAATGGGACCAAGTGTGTGACCCTGATAATATTTACAACATGTCTTTTTTTCTGCGGGGCCTACACTTTACCTGTTAAACCTGGTTGTAAGCAGGATAACTTTTTTTCTGCTGACATACCCCTTGCTAAATTTATATCCCATGCATGGAATAGGAGTCTGGAGTTTCTGAATGTACTTATTAAGGTACTTGAACAACGGTTAAGAGCATAGAATGGTGCGTTCCAGAAATGGGGAAATGAAGCAGAAAAATCCCTTATTCAGGACATCAGACTGGGGAATAAAGCTAGATGGCATTTGACGGTATTAGTTCATCCCAGTTGCTCTTTACATTAGCTATGAACCAGTGCAATAAAAACTAGGTTTAACAGGATGCTCAGTCACAACCCACGCCACTGAGTATTAGTTCTAGAACCTTTCAGTGTCTGTGGCATTTGGGAAAATAAAAGTTTTCCTCCTTATCACTTTTTTTTTAATCATTTTACAAAGTATGACTAATGCCTCTTTGTAAAATAATACGTATAAATACCCAAAACTTGGGGCGCCTGGGTGGCTCAGTCCATTAAACCTCTGACTCTCAATTTCGGCTCAGGTCATGACGTGAGGATCGTGAGATCGAGCCCTGCATTGGGCTTTGTGCTGGGTGTGCAGTCTGCTGTGGGTTCTCTCTCTCCCTCTGCCCCTCCTCCCCTGCTCCTGAGCATGCTCTTTCTCTCTCTAAAAAAAAAACAAAAACAAAACCTTAAAACTTAAAAAAGATACAATGGTCATAGGTTTTTAATAAAGTGATTCAGTCCCAACTGCATGCAGCCTGAGGACATCAGGGGGAATGCTAGTTTGCAATGCAGCCCCCTCCTGTTGGAGTGCAGCCCACCAACTTAGCTATGTCCAACCATGGGGACCCCACAGTGAAAGAGTGCTTCCCTGCAGGGAAGTGGTATCCAGCTGGGAAGATGACTCTCGGGAGAGTGTTCAGTGATAGGGAAATGCTTAGGATGTCTTAAGTGGAGCTCCTGTCTGGGCCGTTTGTGTCCTCAGTTTGGGGATGATGGGCAGTGGAATGGGATCCCTGCATCATGGTTAAGAGCATTACAGCTCAGCCATTCCCAGGCTTGGATCCCAGCTCCCCCTGCGAGCTGTGTCCTCAGTGGACTGAGTCGGCCCTTCTCCGCTCCGGTTTCTCCATCTGCCAAGTGAGGATAGTGGTACCCACCTTGACACACTGTTGTGAGAATTACACTAAAATGCATGCTGAGCACCTTGCATAGTGTCTGGTACCTATGAACACTGAGAAAAAAATGAAAAAGTATGTACAGAAAATATGCTGTTAGTTACTTCTGATTACTGTTTTTATTTTGTATACTTTATGACAATTTTCAGAACTTCAGCAACACAAACGACTACTTTTCTAAAAATCGATTGTGTCAAAGGTAAGTACATAGGAAATGACAGTGGCCTGGATGGAGTCAGTGGTATTAGAAAGAAGCTGACTTGGCACAGATCTTAAGGATCATGTATTTCAACTTGCTTGTTTTTATGGACGAGGGAATGGAGGCCCAGAATGGCGACCTCCACTGGAGGCTGAGAAGAGAAACCAGATTTCCACACCAGGCAAGGATGCATGCATGGGACAAAGGCAGGCCTCTCTTACTTTTATGAGTGGGTATGATGTGATGATGTAAACTTAGTCCGTGGAGAAAGGCTGCAGGGCTGTAGAGAATAGTAAGAATCAGAGTGACTTCCAACGATCCCAGTAGGGAGACCATCATGGGGAAGTCAGTGAGAGAAGGCGTTCTGATGTGAAGGAGAGCATAAGCTTAATTTTCAATGTTGTCAGCTTGGAGGAACATCTAAGTGGGTTTCACCTAGGGGCAGTTTCAGATCTACAAGTGGAGCTGTGTTGTTAGGGATGGGCCAGGAATAAAGACCAGGGAGAAGAACGCACGGAATTCAGAGATGCAGCTCTGTTCAACAAGCTTTCCAGTGGAAAAGACCCAAGGGTCCAGAGCTGAGCTGAGAGGGTCAGTTAAAATTAAAAAGGGAAGAAGGAAATGCCACTGAGAAAGGGCAATATTGGGTAAAAGAGCCAATGACTTGGTTTCAAGGTAGGCGCAACCATCATGTCTGAAATTCACGAAGGAGGTCAGGCAAAATAGTTGGAAAAAGAAACCACGTGTCCTTTGGATTTGACTAGGAGGCAGCCACCAGCAAATAAAAAAGCAGTTTCTGAGGTGGGAAATGAAGCAGCCTGAATCCCTTATTCAAGAAATTAGGCTGGGAAATAAAGTAGGAAGGTATGTGATGATAGTTGGGAGAGATGGCAGAGCAAAGTAATGGCTTATTCGAGATAAAGGACTCTATGAATATTTGAAAGCAGAAGGGAAGAAATGAAGGAGGAGAGATTAAAGGTTTGGTAAAGTAGAAGATAAATCCCAAATAGAGTTCTAAAGAGGCAAAAAAGCAAGAGATCAAGGCAAAGTTGGACTCACTAGCATTAAATCCTCAAGACATCTCTCCCTCTTAATACGTTGAATGTTTTAAGTTTGAAGTTATGTTGGAGCTTTCAGAAGGCTTAGGATATTTACAAGGACTTGAAAGTTCCACTTCCTCACTTTTCATTTTATAAAAGAAACAATTAATGGCAAACTGAGGTTTGGGGCCCTTTTCTTCTGGTGCAGTGTAGTTTGACCATCCCCCACACACTTAGCGCAGCCGGCTTTAAGTCATTACCTATGTCATTATTTGCTTAGAGCCTTTCTTCTTCAATGGATCTAAGTAGCACACAGGGAGAGCCCACATGTGTGCTTTTAACCCAGCTCCCAGCAACCTGTGCAGTGCCAAACATAGAAACGGAGTCTAGTATTTATTAAACGGGTGAATAAAGGAATGAATTAGTGAGTGGCCTCTCCCACAGAAAGCAAACTAGTATCTAGGGAGATAAGGCAAGATTTGCCTTATTCTCTGGAAGTGAATCAGGCAGTTTAACAGGTGCATTACCTCTTTAAAAACCATGGGGTTAAGGACCTGGGGCTTTTCCTGAAAGCATTTCTAGTACCTTAAAAAATAATCACACATCCCAAAGATATCATCAAAACTAATAGAAGAATCTGTCCTTGAATGCAGATGAGAAGCAAATTTAACTGGAGCGTAAGATGGTATGCAACATATTTATATTGACTTAATGGCAATTTGCTTCTACTTTCCTATCTGTGAAATGGGAATAATGGTTAGGGGGTATTGAGCATAATTAAGATTGCAAAGTACTTCTAGCAGAGTCTGATGCCTTTAGGGTTAACTCTGAGTATTATTCCATCATTTACTTCCTCTACAACTTAAGTTTCCAACTTTATATACTATTTTTATTATGATGCAATTAGATTACTAAGAGGGCTTATCTTTTATAGCTTTTTTATCTAAAAACCTTACTACTCACCCAAAGCTGATAAGCTTCAAGATTCAGGAGGCAGTATTACATCAAGTGTGGTCCATAAATATCTGCGGGCTGACTAAATAATGTTTTAATATTAAAAGTGGCTTCATTTCACCCTCATGAAAAATCTCAGGCTCAGGAAGGCTAAACTACTTGCCCAGCCTCACCCAGCATTGGCAACTCAAACCCAAGCTTTCTGATGCCTGCCTCTAGTCATTTCATATATCTGCAGCTGATTCTAGCTCTGATTTCTTTCTTTTTCCATCAGGAAATGATGATCAGAAGCCCTCCACAGAATGGTTTCTCATCGTGCTTATGGCAACCATCTGCTTCATTGTGTTAATTTTCACCCTCATCTGTAAAATGTAGGTATATTTTTTTATTTCCATGTTTCCAATGAGGTCTGAGTATGGAATTTTTACACTTGTGCCCTGCATCCACTAGGGTGCTTGTTACCAGATGGGATTTACAGTGCTTTGGTGTCTTCTGTACCGCCTTTCCAAGATGAGTATGGACCGAATTAAAAAGTGAGAAACATCCTTAGGTGATTTATGGAAACCAGACAGAGCACAACACAGCCCCTCAGCCATTACACACCCTTCTTGAATTCGACAATGTATTCATTGCTGTGAAGCCTTTTACTTTCATGTTCTTTTTACTCCTTTACTGCCTTCCCACTCAGTATTTGGTGTTCTTAGTTGAGCCACTAGCAGACTCCTTCTATAGCTTGGGTGAAGGAAGGCAGCCCCCTAGAGACTGAAATCACCCCAGTGCCTCCCATGGTATGATCTCTAATTAGGAGGTGCCAACTCCTACCCATACTCTTTGTTCACCCAGTCCCTGAGTGGCTGATTGTCCTTTGGTCAAACACAGATTGTAGAAAGGTGATACAGATCTGCTGACCAATCCTCGAGCCTGCAAATGGCCCCATAAGAACTCCTCATCCACTTTGGCATTCAGTAAGGCAAAGTGCCATTTAGGAGGCTTAAGAACATGCTCTGTCTCAGTCCTTTCATAATTTAGAAAATTACTTAGGTTTTAAAGAGCTTCATTATTATAAATGTTATATTCCGTGGGTTGGAGCGTGGCAGTTCAAAGGAGAGGAAAAACAAAGCAAACTCTGTGAGCCAGCACGGTTGGGTAAGGGGCTGGAGCCAGCACTGTGGTTAGTGGTGGGGCACAAGGGCTTACACATCACCCATGTTCAGAAATTAGGCCTGAAAACATGGACCAACATGAAGCAATCACTATCATGTCTTTCTTGGATGATCCGGAAGCCACATCATAGCCCAACTAATATTATAATACAGATATTTATAATCTTGGTCAATAAAGGTTTTGAATTTATAGAACAGCAAGTCCTGAGATTAACTAGGTCAATTTGTAGAGTAGATACTGAAAGACAAGAAAGGATGCTCTTGCTCACCTAATTTTCTTTTACGCTGTTTTCAGAGGTCACTTATGGACCAGGCTGTTTCCACCGGTTCCGGCACCAAAAAATAGTATTAAAGATTTCTTTCTAATAGTCAGCCCTGAGGTAATGTTGAAGGTTCTTATGATGGGTCCTATCTGCCCAGGGTTGGGTCTCCAGGGACTGGTCATCAGGTTACTGGTTTTCCATATTCCAAAGCAGTGTCTACCCGGGGGGTGGGGTGGGGGGCTGGCAGTGACTTTATGTCGCTTTAGTCATTCTGCTCTTTGGATCAATGTTATGTTACATATGTTCATTACTATCTTAGAGTATTGGAAAGGTCCTGCTCAGTTATAAGTGTCCTCACCAGTCAGACTGGAATTTTTTCTATCAGCCATCTCTTAGCTGAGCTTGGGCAACTCCTTCAATCCCATGAGCCCTGACTTCTTTTTCTATATAGTCAAGGGGCATAGATGAGATGGTCCAATGTCCTGTTTAGCTCTGATGTTTTAAGAACCCGTGTTTCTGCACATGGATACCCTAATCAATAACATTTTTCAGAGGAACTTTTCCTAGGTTCTTAGTATAAAGAACCATAGAGAAGGCAAATGACTTCCCCAAATACGCATTTCCTTAGGCCCTATTTGCCATTCACAGCACTTAAGCTTAACTGAATGCTCACTTACCCATGGCTGCCCAATTGTTCTGGCATCATTTTGTGAAAAAAAAAAAAAAATCATCCTTTCCCCAGTGAATTGTCTTGGCATCTTTGTTGAAAATCAGTTATCTATATATGTGTGGGTCTACTTCTGGACTATCTATTTGCTTTCATTGATCTGTTTGCCTATCCTTATGCCAATGCAATCTTGATTACTATCACTTTATTGTGAACCTGGGGATCAGGTTAGTGTAAGGCTTCCAAACAGGATTTTTTAAAAAAAGATTTATTTATTTAAGGGGCACCTGGGTGGCTCAGTTGGTTAAGCATCTGCCTTTGGTTCAGATCATGATCCCAGAGTCCTGGGATCGAGCCCCGTATTGGGCTCCTCACTCAGTGGGGATCCTGCTTCTCCTTCTCCCTTTCCTTCTGTCTGCTCCTCTGCCTGCTTGTGCTCTATCAAATAAATAAAATCTTTAAAAAAAAAAGATTTATTTACTTGAGAGAGAGAGCACATGAGCGGGAGGGGGAGAGGGAGCGAGAGAGAGAATCTCAAGCAGACTCCATGCTGTGCACAGAGCCCTACTCGGGGCTCGATCCCAGGACTTTGAGATCAGGACCTGAGCTGAAACCAAGAGTTGGAAGCTTAACCGACTAAGCCACCCAGGTTCCCCCAAACATGATTTTTTCCCAAAGTTGTTTTGGTTATTCTAGGTGTTTTGTTTTGCATTCCCATATAAATTTTAGAGCAACTTTATTAATTTCTACCAAAAAAGCTGCTGGGATCTTGATTAGGATTGTGTCTTAAAAATGAGTCTCCCAATCTGTAAACATGACATAGCATCATACTCTACAAACACAAAATATCATCGACCTATTTAAGTTTTAATTTCTCTCAGCAATGTTTTGTGATTTTCAGTGTATCGTTATTATATACTTTGTCAAATCCGTCCTTAAATTAAGTGGTTATTTAGATTAGGGATCAGCAAACTTTCTCTATAAAGAGCCAGATAGTAAATACCTAACAGCCAATAGGTTTCTCTCAACTATTCAATGCTGCCATTGTGGTGTGAAAGCAGCCATAGACAGTATGCAAATGAACGAGATTGGCTCTGGCCAATAAAACTTTATTTACAAAAACAGGCAATGAGCCAGATTCTACCCACAGGCTGTAGTTTGCAGATCCCTCATGTAGATCAAGCTATTTTCTTAACAAATAGAGTTTTCTAATGAGGTGCTTCATGAATGGATGAATAAACTGGTGACTGTTTGTAGGGCAGTTAAGGGTCAAGCACTCACTGAAATGGATCATTTCAATAAGCTGTGACCTTTAGAGTTTTCGATTTGGGTGTTTGGAATAATTATAGACCATAGTAGTTATGAAACTAGTCAGGCAAAGAATGGAGTCAGACAGAAGAACCACCTCCACCTGAGTCCTTACCTCCATCCTGAGTTCTCCTTTATCAGGGAACAGGGGCTTTGCTTTTGTTAACCCATAGCTTTTCTGGAAGAAGAATGGACTCCAGTGTGAAACCTTGTTTTGGTTTCATCTGAATTTGTGCCGTCAATCCCCCCTTGCTCCAGCATACTCATCCCTGAAAAACTACATTTGATTTTAGCAGCCCACTGAAGTCATTTGTCTTGCCTCTTAGTGGAACATCTTAATGCTGGTATCTAATTTCCCTATAGAGCCCCCAAAGGTTTTCTTTAATATTCTGAAGTTGGTGAAAGAAACTGGCTTAAGAGCTTATTGTATAAGCTTGTGGTTTGTTGTTAATTAAAATCAAGTCATGTGTGCAAAATAACAACTTGGGGTAGAAGGCTGGTTTCAAAATAAGCAAAGAATTAATGTCAGAGCTCAGCACTGCTAGGCTCCTCTTAGACAACTTACTTCTCACATTGTTGAGTTTCATGTAAAAAAAGACAAGAGAGAGCCCGACAGATATAGCAAGTAGAACTCAGAAAATGAAGTATTGCCCCATAATGCTGTTAGCCCTATGGCCTCAATTCTCCACCTGGGAGAATATGCAAGCAAGGGCAGAGTTGACCACAGCCTCGGCCCCATGTAGCAGTGCCCCAGCCTGTAGCTCTGAAGGTAAAGCCCTTCAGACTCACTCTTGGGGCCTCTGCTACAAGGATGACAGAGGGGACCAATTAGTGCTATTGGCAATGATGGTTTTGGTTTTGCACCCCACTAGGAAGCCTTTAATGAGAGGGGAAGGAAACTTTCTGCTTTCAATTACAACCTGTATCTCTGAGCTTGGTGTGGGTACCCAGAGTCCTGGGATTTGGAGGATATCTGCCATCCCTGAGCTCTCATTAAGCAAGTTTTTGCTTTTCCAGACCCAAGTTAGAAATTGTTTTGTAACATTCAAGAGACAGGTACTGGCAGGGAGAGGTGGGGGCGGGGGGGAAGACGGAGGGGCAGAAGTTGACATTTATCAATTACAAAGAAGGTATCTTTTTGTTTAAAAAAAAAAAAAGATGTATCCTGTGTTTTAGATTTGTTAGAGACCAGTTTCCAGCTGTTCCTTATTTCTACAATGGTAGCCAGAGAGAGTTCCTTCCAAAATGAAATATAAACCATTTAAACTGTAGTACCTAAGGCAGAGAGCACATCTGCTTTGTCACTGCATACTCAATGCACAGCAGTGTCTAAAGTACAGTAGGTATTATAGGTATTAAAAAATGTGTTAAATGAGAGGCACCTGGGTGGCTCTGTCAGTTAAGCATCTGCCTTTGGCTCAGGTCATGATCTTGGGGTCCTGGGATTGAGCCTGCGTTGGGCTCCCTGCTCAGCTCCCTGCTCCCGCTGCCCCCTTCCCCCCACACCGTGTGCACACATGTGCATGCACGCTCTCTTTCTCTCTCGAATAAATAAAATCTTTTAAAAAATGTGTTGAATGAGTAAACAAGGTAGAAAAATAGTTCTTGTAGGGGATTTCTGTCACAAAGTTTCTACTTAATAGCATTATATTAGCCCAAATTAGACAAACACATATCTAAATTTAAGGGGAAACTACAATAAACTATGAATGAAAAATGGTGGAGCTATTCAATGATGCAGCCCAAGAGTATATATTTTAAAATATTACATGATGTTACACAGAAAGCAATTTATGAAGCTGACTATCCATTTGCCTTCATTTAACTGTAAAGGTAACTTTGTACCTAGAAAACAAGGCTGGAGGGAAACAGTGGGCTGTGTTTGGGAGATAAGGTGATGGATAGGTTTTCGTTTTCTTCCCATTTTCCCTATTTTCTTAGTGAACATTTACTATTTTTATAAGCAAAATACACTTAAACAATTGTAAAGAAATTCAAGAGAACAAAAAGTGTACTAAAAGACACCTAAGGAAGGATGTTTTGTTTTACAGAGAACTGTTTCCAGTGAAACAGAAATTGAAGTCATAAGTTATGTGGAAGAGCCTGGACTTGAGACCCTGGAAGATTCCGTGTTTTGACTGGCACTGTAACAGTCTCAAAAATGAACTCACACTCACATGCCTCAGTGATAAGAAGAACGGGAACTGTTGTTTCTTGGCTAACAAGAGTTCCGATTTTACTGAACACTCAGTTTAGCTGCAAGGCAATACAGCCAGACAAATTTCTTAAAAGCGTGGATGGCTCTTCAAAAACTCCTTGCTCACTCAGGGCGATTGATCAATCTGACCATTCTGCCATGTCTTTTCTTCCCACTCTGCAGGGTACCAACTCCTCACCCGCGAATCTTTGTGATTTACATTACTTGCCTGAAACTTTGTGCAAGAGACGGTTTTTAAGGCTGATGTCAACTGGCAGAGCCCGTTTTATAGCTGAAGCTGCCAATGGTAATACTCAGCTGAAATATCAGCAAGAAAGCATTTTGCACCAGCGTGGAGTTCATTATGAACTTAGATTTGAGGCTCTTTCCTAGAACAAGTGGGAGCCATGGTGCTTTTTTTTCCCCCCTGAGTTCTAGAATACCTTTTCTTTCAAGTAGTGTCTGGGGGGTGGGCGGGCTATGATTTAGGAAGGGCGACTTGAGGCAAACACATTACAAATGTGAAGAGCTAATACATCACTCCATACCAAAGCAGAGAATAGGGTTTTATATTTGGGATTATATTCTTGAAGGCAGCCTTGATATTTGGGAATATACGGAGAAAGGCATTAGGTAGAATTGGGTTGGGAAGGGGATTGCTCAATCAAGAATGACCTTTCCGGAGAGATGTTGGCTTGCACATATTTTGGAGCAACTTGTCAGGTGCTGGTCAAGTAGCTCTGGGTCAATCCTACAAGCATCCCATCAAACATCCCAATCTAGACATCCTCTCGACATCCTCCTATATGAGTCTGCATCTAGATTGGAGGCCTTCTTGATGGGCGATGGGCTATAGGTAGAACCAAGTACATACAGGTGCGTCTGGGGGAGAGAGGAGGTAGGAGGAACAGAACTCGGAAGGACCCCAACAGTGCTGATGGTACCTGGGCCTGGAGTAGGAAGCTTAGGACAGGGAAAGGAGGTCACAGTGTTCCAAACCCCCTGTATGGCAGCACACAGTTTCCAAGTATTATGGACTGAATGTTTGTGCCCATCCCCCTCCAATTCATGTTGAAACTCCATACCCCAATGTGATGGTATTAGGAGGTGGGGGTCTTTGAGTGGTGATTAGATCATTGAGGGTGGAGCCCTCATGAAGGGAATTAGTGCTCTTTAAAAGGGACCCTAAGGGGTTTTCTTTCCTCTATGTAAAGATAGGAGAAGTTGGCATTCTGCAACGAGTACAAGGGCTCTCCCAAGAACCCTGCCATACTGACACCTTGAACTGGGAACACCAGACTCCAGAACTGAGAAATAAATTCCTGTTGTTTATAAGTCACCCAGAGTATGATTCTTTATTATAGGAGCCTGAGCTAAGATGCCAAGGGTTGGGAACTATACTAGATACTTCGCACACATCATCTCTAATCCTGAGAGGCCCACATCATTTGTATCACTGCATTTTACAGGTGCAATCACTGAAGAAAGTGCATGATGAAGGGTTGACTACCAGGCTCAAGTGAGCCCGGTAATGTAGAGAGGACTGCTGGAAAAAAGTTGAAGCCTGCTTAGGGGTGGGACCAGGAGGGCATGGCCTATGGAGGTGCTGCAATCCCTGGCAAAATGTTTGATTATCTGACTGATCCAGAATCTCTGTGACTGGCATTCAAGGACCTGTATTTTTAGTGAACATTCTTAGACATTCTGAAACTTGCCAGCACAGTAGAATCACCTGGAGGCATCATTAAAACAGATTGTAGGGCCCCAACATCAGTTTCAGATTGAGTAGGTCTGGGGTGGGGTCTGAGATTCTGCATTTCTAGTAAGTTCCCAGGTGATGCCGATACTTGTTTCCCAGTCACACTTCATGAACAGTAGCCCTGGGTGTTTCTGACGAACAGCAAAATTTGAAAACCAACTGTTGAAGGAGTAAGTGACGGAAAAGTCCTGCCCCAAATTGCCACTTTTGGGGCTTATCGCTCCTTGTCTGATGTCTTTCATAACCAGAACCTGGAAACCTAGGTTTATGGCCACTGCCTCTGCTAGGAGGCTGCAAGAGAAAGAGGCTGCCCCCAGTTTGGCTGCGTCTTCACTGTTGGGTGTGGTGTTCCACATCAGAGATGCCTCCCTCAACCTCAGCGGCCAGCTGTCACCGTACTGAACCAGTGCCACCATCTGGATCTTTGTCTATGTGTTTCAGGAGCAACACAGTGTAGACCATGTGGTCTCGCCAGTGCATCATGACCTTCCTCTTCCTCACTGCTCAGCTCCTACCGATTTTTCGGAAACCTAAATCCCATGTCTCCTCTGCGAAGCCTTCAAAAACAGTTTGGTTGATCCTGCCTCTGGGTTTTCATTCTGGGCTTTGCGCCTCTCCCGGAGCTATTGCATTGTAGGATATACCATCCACAGTTTGGATGTCTCCCCAAACTGTGTGCTCCAGGAGGATGGGGCTCATGTGAAATTCGTCCTTTTATCTATGGTGTCTAGGACCACTGCACCCTTTAAACCCTCTTTCAACCCTGGCCCAGGTCCTTGCATGTAGTTGGAACCGAGGGATATTTGGCAGAGATCACCAAGGCCTATAATAATATCATGGAAAGAAAGACGGGTGTCTAATGAGAACATGATTGGAAATAACCAGGACACACATGTGCGCCCGACCATCTGGCTAGTGTACCCCAGTCCTTTTTTGCTGATGATGTGGCTAGGTGGTGACGTATAAACGCTGTATAAAAGGAGTTAGGCTTTGGGTGTGGCATGCTTTGAGTGGTCTGTCCAGTTTTCACTAGCCTTGTCATGACAAATCAGAGTGTGAACATTCTCTTAACAGTAAATACCCTCGTCAACAGGTTGATTAGACATTGGCACCCACCTCTTTCCATCTCCCACCAGGACAGGAGAGAGGGCCAGCTGTCTCCCAAACAGCCTTCAGTCGCACGCTCAGAACAAACTGTGCTTCTCTAAGACATCCTTTCCAATAAGGATTTTAGTCCAATGTCTTTCTTTGGCAGATGGAATTCTCTGAGCGCAGCATAGGGAAAGTGCTGGGGAGCCTGGAGGGGAAGTTCAGTGTGCCAACAGCCATCTGAGCCTTACTGAAACGCCTCAAGGCCTCAAGCTATTTATGCAGGCTGGGCAAGAATTCCACTTGGGCAAAGAACATCCTGATTAAAAAATCCAAACGTTTTCATGGTGAGACTTGTATGTGTCAGGACCATCTGTTGGTGGAATTAATAAACCTTAGGTGCTAATTTGTTAAAGAAAAAGTAGGTGTCTAGAAGCAAGAACAGAGAACTGAAAACAATCTTTGGTGGCACGAGGCAAGGTGAAAAACCTAATTAGAACAGGACTTGGTGTTAGCCCAAGGATCTTTGTGACAATGACCGTGTAGCTATTCCTGCCTCCACACCCTGCAAATCAAGTTCCAGGACACGAACTTTTTGAAAGCCATTTTTCAAAGATTATATTGAACCAGAAGACAATCTTATCTTTTTGCCAGTAGCCCTCTGTTTTAGGTAATACATGTGAATGTAAATTCACTTCAGAGCAAGAACTGTTTCACACAGATGACGGTGGATTGTCTAAGTCCGCAAATCGAAGAGGAGTACACTTCTCATTCCCCGCCCCCATCATCGTCTTTATCATCTCTCAGCCGGGACCATTACAACTCAACTAAAATCCTGGCCTCCAGTATTGTCTTTCTTGGAAGGATCTCCATAAAAGGCACATCTGCCTCCATCACCCCTGTCCAAGGCCCTCAGATAACTCTATCACCTTCAAGTTAAAGCTCCTGTCAACGCTAAGGCCCCTGGGACACGGCTCCTCAGTAGCTCCCCAGCCACAGTCCCAAGGAGCACCCCTCCAAAACCAACACCACACTCTCTCAACCCTCCATGCCTCTGCGTAAGCTTTCTCCTGTGGAAAAAGCCTTTTCAATCTTTTTCTTCATCGGTTGACTGTTACCTTCTAAATTTTAGTCCTTTGCCACCAGGAAAACTCTGTATTCCCCAGGTAACTTCTTTTTGATTCTATTTTATCACTTACTGTATTATTTAAAATTTTTTGGTCTCATTTAAAGTTGAGACATGTTGAAGTCAAGAACAATGTACTTAACCACTGAGTTGGAACTGGCTGAATTTAGCTGGACAATGAAAAACAAAGTGAATTTCTCAAAAGTGTACCAGAAAAAGCTACATATATTCAATTTAGCTCTAAAGAACGAAGCTCGAATGGGTAGATTCATCTATTAAAGCTGTACAGCGACAGCCAGAAATTAGACCATCACCAAAGCTTAAAAATGAAGTAATAAGAACTCACAGTTGGTGTGGCTCTCCTTCCGAAATGCCTCTCTCTACCTCACCAGCCGCCCAGCCCTTGGGTTCCGTGGAGCTCCCGCTGAACTTCGGGAGCCGGTGCGACCCATTTGGCTCTCGATAAATGAGTGGCAGGTGGAACAAAATTAGCCCAAGTGGCCCGTGAGCGTTATTTTTAAGTTCTGGTGGACCCTCTTCACCATGAAGGTGTGTTATCAGGTTAGTTTCATTCATTAAAACTAAAAGCAAAGCGGCTGTCCCTGCCAGGTGAGAAAATGAAAGAAGACGTAAACCTGAGAAGGGGCGGGGGGAATGGCAGGAAAGAAGCCAACAATGAAGTACTGGTGTCATAGTTTAGAAGTCAGCAGATTTCTTCTTAAAGAGCTAGATAGAAAATATCTTCAGCTGTGAGAGCCATCTGTTCCCCGCTGCAACCGCTCAGTTCTGCCACGATAGCGCAAAAGCAGCCACAGACTATATAAAGGAGAGTGGCCGTGTTCCAATAAATCTTTATTTACAAAAACCAGGCAATGAGCCAGGTTTGGCCTGTGGGCCAATATTTATCTGTACGTAGCTTAATGGATCCAAAATGTTACATTTGAGTGTGCTGTTTCTTTCTCTCTTTTTTTTTTAAGCAAAGCAACCAACTTGAGAAATATGTTTAATCAATAAAAACCATTTTATGGTGGAGGGGGGCACCTATGTGGTGCAGTCGGTTGAGGATCCAGCTCTTGGTTTTGGTTCAGGTCGTGATCTCAGGGTTGTGAGATCAAGCCCCTGCGTTAGGCTCTGCGCTCAGCATGGAAGATTCTCTATCTCTCTCCCCCTGCCCCTCCCTGCCACGCTCTCTCTCTCTCAATCAGTCTTTTAAAAAAAATCTTTCTATGGGGGAAGGTGGTGGTGAAAAAATATGTTGTGTTTGACTGAACTTAAGCTTGTTATGAGTTGGTTTTGCAAGAAACAAGGGTACAGAATTCTCTTCATACTTTTATCTGTTCACATGTTTTATACCATTTGCAAGTGTTTCTGTCACCTCCAGTGAACCCTGAAGAGGGAAGCCTTAATCTGATTTCTGTGGTTTTCCAGTGCCCAGCACAGTGCTCAACACATAGAAAGCAGTCAACATCTTAACTGTTGACAAACAAAAGAGGAATGACTGGGCCAATTCAAACTCTGTTATTTGATCTCAGATATTTGGTTCTAAAGAATGATAAACGGTACACCAACCACATAAATTTCTTTTTCAACTAGTTCTGTTATAGTTATGTTCTGAGCAACAAGCCCATTTTTATAACCCTTCAAAACATTTCTGGAATCCCCCTCCACACCTCAGAGCCATGGACCTTTAGAGATTTGATAACACATCAGCAAGGTCCTGGAATTTCTCCCCCCCTTTTTTATTATGTTATGTTAATCACCATACATCATTATTTTTTGATGTAGTGTTCCATGATACACCCAGTGCTCCATGCAGAACGTGCCCTCTTTAATACCCATCAGCAGGCTAACCCATCCCCCCACCCCCCTCCCCTCTAGAACCCTCAGTTTGTTTTTCAGAGTCCATAGTCTCCCATGGTTCATCTTTTTGCATTAGAAATTAATTACCTCAAAGAGGAGGAATCCTCCCTGCATGAGGTTGCCAGACTTAGTAAATAAAAAATAGATGAAGCCCAGTTAAATTTGAATTTCAGATAAATTTTGCATGGGACATACACTATAAAATTATTGATTTTTTAAAAATCTGAAATCCAAGTTTAACTTGGATTTCCGTATTTTATCTGGTAACTCGGATCTTGCAGGATAGCCTGTTTGAAAAATAGCTCTGAGAATGCTTGAAGTCCAGTATAACAAACAAGCAAAAAACACCATTTGCAGTAAAAAAAAAAAAAATAGCCAAACTGGGCTGCTTTGGAGCAGAGAAGTAACCACACCTGAGGTTTATGAGGTTTTTCTGCAGGAATCCTATACCTGGGATCTTGGCTTAAACCCCTGGTCACTTTTTAACAACCCACATTCAACTTCCTGGGAGGCTCACCACCTTATTTCCTTTTTGTTGCCGTATGGCAACCAAATCTGTTTGTCTGTGTTCCTACCTACCTACCTAGATATCTAATGTTTTGGACTGGACTTGCCTGGAGTCAATCTACCAGCATCTCAACTCCTGGTTTCCCCTTTCAGTGGCGTGACCTGGGACATACTGCTAAACCTCTTAGTCTTGGCTCCCCACGTGTCAAATATGAATAATGAATAGTAACTCAACCACCAGGTTCATTTGCACAGAATCGATGTCAGCTAGTATTCTCATTACATTTTTCCATATTGTGACAAAGTGCCAGGACTGGTCCCTTGGCTTCCCCCCCTACCATGGGACTCCAAGGCAGGTGACTTCATACTGGCCTCGGGGGAAGGGGGGGGTTTCCATCTCCTTCATTCTGTGGCCCTCGTGGAGTCTCTCTGCCACAGCACTCCCCTGTGCTAGAACAGTGCCTGGTACACAGAGGGTGGTCACTAGTCCCTTCCTGAATAACCGACTGGAACCCACTTCAGGGACCTGATACTCCAAACGGCTGTGCTGAGTCTGCTCATCCTTCATAACTTCTTCACCTCCCACATCTCAGCCTCCGATGTGCTCTGCTTGGACCTCACCATTTCCCTCTTGCCCACTCTGTGTTCTGACTGCTTTCCGCATGCACTTAAGACACGATCTCCTTATTCCCTCTTATTCTTTCTCTCAGGAAAGACTTATTTCTAGGTGTTGAAATGCACTGAATTAAGAGTTCTAATTTCTAGTCCTGACTTTCTAATCATCTGTGTTACTTTGGGCTTGTAGTACCATCTCCTTACCTCTATTTCCTAAATGAAAAAGGAATAAAACTGGCGTCTCCTGCTTCTTGGTGTGAAGAGCACTTTGAAAACGATAAAAACAAATTAAGCTATTACTGTTTGTTAGTTAATATCCAAGACATACATATTTCCTGGTAGAGTTTGTGCTGTTCATTACAAGTGGTAAGAAGATGTAGCGAAAGACCCATGTACAGCTACTGGGACTACCTCATTAAGTTACCCAAGCCTTGCAGACTCAGACATTCAGATCTCTTATATGGTTGATCTTTAAAAAAAAAAAAAAAAACTTTCTCTCAGTATGGTCTTTATTACTAGAGCTCTGCTAATCTACAATGACCATAACTGTTGGTGATAAAGGACAGAGGACGAGTTTGTTTAAATTGTGAGCTCTCTTGAGTATTGCAGTTTACACTTGAGTTGTGGGATTGGAACATTTAATCTTCATGGGCCATTTAGCATGAGGGGTAAAGGAAAGGGGCTTCCTTTTGGACTGGCATATGGTAATCACATCCTGCCAGGAGGGCAGGGGCTGAGCAAATCAGTCCCCGTGGTGCCAGAGACTCTTCCCCCTGTAGCTTTGTTCGTGTCAGAGGAGGGGGTGGAATACAGCCCTGGTGCTTGGGAAGTACAGTCAAGAATCACAAGCAGACTCTAACCCTAAGATGTTCTCTGTGTACTGGGAAGAAGACATGAATACAAATGATTTAAATACCAGCTAATGGGGGTCCCTGGGTGGCTCAGTCGGTTAAGCGGCTGCCTTCAGCTCGGGTCATGATCTCAGGGTCCTGGGATTGAGCCCCGCATTGGGCTCCCTGCTCAGTGGGGAGTCTGCTTCTCCCTCTCCCTCTGCTGCGCCCCCTGCTTGTGCTCTCTTGCTCCTGCACACACTCTCTCTCTCTCAAATAAATAAGTAAATAAATAAATAAATACCAGCTAATGGGATGATAGACACGTGTGGGTCCTGATGAGGTGCCCTGGAAGTCAAATGAGAGGTCAGTACCAGATGGAGAAACTGAGGAAGCCTTTGTAGAAAAGCTGGCATCTGCATGAGGACCCAACTACTTAAATTCTTTTATAAATATTAATATTATTAAATATTTTTATTTTATTGTGTTATTTACATAACTATATTAAGACATGAAAATATTTAAATAAAAGGTGATAATGGACGTGTGTGTTGAGTTCAACTCATTTTGGCTTTGGGAAGCATCAACATTCTTCATCTGGTTTTTGTGACTATCTCAGTCACTTGGGAAAAAGAACAGTGACTGATCTATAAAATAGTTGCTAATGTTTAGAGAGCTATGCATTTAGACTTTACAAGCCTTACCCTATATAATAAGTACCAATTGTCACAATGCATTCCAGGCGGTCAGACTCCAGAATCCATATTCTTAGACACTGTATTAAGCTGCCTGTGTAAGGTCCAGGGTCTCTCATTTTTGATGGAGTAATTTTGGGTGTGCCTAGAAATGGAACAAGTCTTTCATTGTAAAAGGCTTGCTCCTCAATGTGGTTGGCCAGAGAATTGTTTTAATTGTAACAACAGGAAAATACAGTCAATTCTTTTATCTATGTTAATGGAGGAGAAGAGTGGCGTGGATAATCCAATACAGTGTATAGAAATCACCTGATGGTGATTACATTACACCAAATTACTTTAAAAATTACATGACATTTTAGTAGCTAATTATGTACTATTTATGTACTTTTTATAATTCATCACTCAGCATATATTTTGCAGAAAGGTAAGGGTGGTGGGAGAGACTGGGAAAAGGTTAATCAGGATTGAACATTGCTTCCCGGACGTAAATAACCAAAAATCTGATGGTAGGAATAACTTAGTCATTCTATCTTCAGATAAAAAGCTATGGAAGCGCCCATCCCACAGGCTGGAAGAATTCTGAGCTCACCTGAGAATTGAAATTTATCATTCATGTCTTCTGCCTCCATGCAAAGATGCTGTTTTGTACATAGAGTGTTTGAGCTCTGTAAAAACTCAGGACCACTGAGAGAATCCAATTATCTGGCAAAATAGAATTTCCTTTTAAACAGTTAAATCACAGGTGGATCAGGTGGATTACACACACAAAAAGAAGGTAAGAGTAAGCACTTCAAACAGTTAAATGACCAAAGCAAATAGGCCCCTTCCTAGTGCTCTTGCTTCAGAGTCACTGTCCCAAGTACGAAATATTCCATCAAGTGTAGTATTTGGGACCAGGGCCTGGGGAAGTCCCTTGGATAGCTAAGCATAGAATGTGTGTTGCTTAGATCTTCCTAGTATCTATTATCTCATCTCATGGAAATATCATATCAATTTTCCTTTAACAAGCTATCCTTTTTTTTTTTTTTTAAAGATTTTATTTATTTATTTGACAGAGAGAGACACAGAGAGAGAGGAAACACAAGCAGGGGGAGTGGGAGAGGGAGAAGCAGGCTTCTTGCCGAGCAGGGAGCCCGATGTGGGACTTGATCCCAGGACCCTGGGATCATGACCTGAGCCGAAGGCAGACGCTTAACGACTGAGCCACCCAGGCGCCCAACAAGCTATCCTTTTGCTATGAGTGCAGGTTTGTCGTGATCAAGGATATGGAGCAGAGTAGCATCAAAATTATAAACAAAGCCAATTCATTTCCAGAAAAGCACTTGGAATAGAGTTTCCAAAGTTCCTGCAGTCTGGATTCTTAGAGTATCCTCATTCTTATTCTCACCAACACGTGGCCATTCAGCGTTTCCTCAGCTCCTGTGACCTAATCTGTGTCATTCCTTTTCGTTTGCTCAGTTTAGCTCAATTTTGTTTCCTGTTGCTTGCAACCAGTGATCCCAACCTGCAACCACCACGGAAGCTAACAAATCAGACGCGTGTGGGTGAAGGTGCCTACCATGCACTTTCTAAAATACCTTCAGCTCAATTAGACTCAGCTAATCCAGGTCTTCATTTATCAGATGATGGAACAGAGAGATACAAAGGACTTTTTCAAAGCATAAAGTTTGAAGCCAGGTCTTCTAATGCTTTCCAGCACCTAACAAAAACAGTGACACAGTCTTCTCTGGTTGGGTCCACTGTGGCACACAGGCAGGCAACTGATGCAAAATGCTACTTCAAAGACCCCTTCAATGAATTAATCAATGATTATTTATTGCAAGGCACTGTGCTAGGCACTATGGAGAGTACATGGAAGATAAGACCAAAGTCCCTGCCCTCAAGGAGCTTACAATCTAGTTGGGAAGACAAGGCATAAGTACAAGGAAAATTAAGTAACAATACAGGAGTTAAGTTAAAATGCAAGATAACAGTACAAGAGATTTCCAAAAGTAGTACCTGATTAATTACTAAATGAGTGGTATTGACAGGGCTTGCAGCTAATTCAGAGGAAGGACATCCTAAAGGGCTGAAGTGTGGGAAGACTTCACAGAGAGCTGGAGCTGGAGCTGGGTCGGGAATTGGGTGAGAAAGAAGAGTGGGGAGGGCATGTCAGGAAGGGTCAGCTTTATGATCAAAAGGCACAGAGGTGAGACCAAAAGCAAGCAATGTTTAGGGGCCAGTGAGGGCTCAGTGTAGCTGGGTACAAAGTTACGTTATTAGATTAAGAAGGGCCTTAAACGATCAAGTTTAGATTTTATCCTTTTAGCAACGGGGTGGAGGAAACCCTAAAACAACAGATATCCCTAGGTTAAACATACAAAAGACTTAGCTAATCAAGAGGAAATATTAAAGTTTGATCTTCAGGATATTTATTTGTGGATTTCGACCCTCTGTGCTTCCAAAGAGGATTTGAAATGGTGTTTCCAGGGTTGTCAACTGCAAAGGAATGGCTCTGGGTCATCTAGGTTTTGATCATGGCCAGAGACTTTTGAGTCCCTCTATCGTCTCAAATTATAACGAGCACAAGGGTGAGCTAACAAATTCCCTGACAGGCAGGCAGGAAAAATGCTCCCAAAAGACAAGTATCTTTACAAATGACAGAATATTTATTAACAATACCTTTAAAAAAAGATTACATATGCTAGATCACTGGTAAATATCATTTACACTGGGGTTGGGAACTACCTGGGGTGTCATTTTTTTTCATTCATTTTATTGTTTTGTTGATTTTTTTGCGTGTGTGATTTTAAGTTCTGTTTTATTTTAACAAAGAAGTAACCATATCAAACTAAGAGAGGAACACAGCTTGAAATACTGACAATATTTTTTCTGGTCACCGCCCTAGTTTTTACACAAGTGGAATCCTGATTATGACTTTATTGGATAAATATGGCTAGAAGGTTGAAAAGTTAACTTATGTTATTTGTAAGCAAAAATAATGAATTACAGGCAAATTTGATCTGTCTGAGAAAGAAGAAAAGGTGGCAGAGTGTTTACATGTGAAAATCTTTATAGAAAATTTCATTGCCTTTTATATGCACTGTTCCACAAGTGTCAGCTTACAAAACCTCCCCCATTATAACAAATAGTTCTTTTCAAAAGAATATTTTTTTGATATTGTCATTTTCCAATGTGTGATTTTAAGATTTAGAAGGTAAAGCTTATAAAGCAACTAAGCTACCTACTGCAAAACAGGATAATCATCAAGATAACATACAGTTATACTAAAGATCTTTTATCGTGTCATGAAAAAATTCTTTGCAGCAACTATTTGCTGAAATAGGAGAAATTTCCCAAATTCCATACATGATTTTAATTCAAAAGAAGGGTTCTATTATTAAAGACATACACATATATAAAGAAATAATGACTCCATCAACAGAGAATTACCTTTTTAAAAAACGTACATTCAAGACAGATACATTTAAAGATAGTAAAATTATCTTTTATCCTTTGAAAGACTTGGTTGACTATAGTCACTTTTGGCCTATGTTACTACTGGATATGTAACTTCAAATTTAATGTCTAAGAAAATGCTACTACAAAGACAATGCTAACTTAGTTGAGTGAAAAGAAAGTCTTACTGTACAATGCTAAATTCAGGGATGGGAATATTGCACAAGGTACCTCTTGGGCAGTTAGTTTAGGTTTTGAATTTGCAGCCATTCCTGAAACCATCTTGAGTTGTATTGAACAACAAAATTCACAACAGGGTGGGAAAATATATTGTACATGTCAAAAGGACTTGATTCAGTGCATTAACCATCCAAAGAGTCATTTACATACAGTAGCCTTGAGTTACAGACCAAATCTTCAGCTCTTCTGTCACTGAATCCTTGTAAAACTGTACAAGTAATGTGTAATTTATTTACCAAGATGAGTTTCAAACTCTTTCTCTAAAGGAAATATTCTGAAATAATAATTGTATGATTGTGTTGCCCATAGCATTTTACAGCAGAGGAAAAAAATTAATATCTACATTTCATGTTAACTTTAAAAAATTCTATAAAACACTAAATATATAATAAAAAATATGCATATAAGGACATATGTAAACTGCTTTGGTAACATCATATTACAGATGTCTTCAGTGCATTGCAGAGTTTCCAAGGAAACTTCAGACAAAGCTAGATTTGCTTTGAGGAAGTACTGTATAATGCCATTCCTAAAGAAGCAAAAAACATTTTTTTTCCAGTAATAAGATGTACTTGAACAACAATATTACTTAGTACTGGGTGTCTTCAAAACAACTAGTTAAATGTTGCTTATATTATAAACAGCAAGTCCTTTAGATAACTTTTGTCATAAACTGGACCTAGCTGTGAGGGAAATCATGATTGTGCTGATGGCTGACAGCGTACATGCATTTGAAGTGGAAGGTCCAGCTCCTCTTGCATAGGCATCTGAAAAGAGAGAATAAATTCGCTCAGTATCGCTTCAGCCTGGCTACAGAGGAAAGCAAGGCCACGGGTTTTTAGGCAACAGCAGAACCAGCCAGATCCCACCGGAAAGAGCAATTTCCTAATGCCTTTTTTTTTTAAGATTTTATTTATTTATTTGAGAGAGAGAGAGAATGAGAGACAGAGAGTACGAGAGGGAAGAGGGCAGAGGGAGAAGCAGACCCCCTGCTGAGCAGGGAGCCTGATGCGGGACTCGATCCCGGGACTCCAGGATCATGACCTGAGCCGAAGGCAGTCGCTTAACCAACTGAGCGACCCAGGCGCCCCCCCTTTTTTTTTTTTTTTAAGATTTTATTTATTTATTTGAGAGAGAGAATGAGAGAGAGAGAGAGCATGAGAGGGGGGAGGGTCAGAGGGAGAAGCAGACCCCCTGCTGAGCAGGGAGCCTGATGTGGGACTCGATCCCTGGACTCCAGGATCGTGACCTGAGCTGAAGGCAGTCGCTTAACCAACTGAGCCACCCAGGTGCCCTTTTTTTTTTAAGATTTTATTTATTTATTTGAGAGAGAGAGAATGAGAGAGAGCACATGAGAGGGAGGAGGGTCAGAGGGAGAAGCAGACGCCCTGCCGAGCAGGGAGCCTGATGTGGGACTCGACCCTGGGACTCCAGGATCATGACCTGAGCCGAAGGCAGTCGCCCAACCAACTGAGCCACCCAGGTGCCCTTTTTTTTTTTTTTAAGATTTTATTTATTTATTTGAGAGAGAGAATGAGAGAGAGCACATGAGAGGGGGGAGGGTCAGAGGGAGAAGCAGACTCTCTGCCGAGCAGGGAGCCCGATGCGGGACTCCCTCCCGGGACTCCAGGATCATGACCTGAGCCGAAGGCAGTCGCTTAACCAACTGAGCCACCCAGGCGCCCCCTAATGACTTTTTAATATCAGTTCTATGACTACCGAGCCAGGAACCTAAGAGTAGGTTATGGGACGTCTCTGGACCTCCGTTGATGCATCTGCAAAATGAGGATTCTACATCTAATTTGAGAAGAAACTTCAATATTACTAATAGCTACTAATAAGTATTATATCAATGATGCAGCAAAATATAAGTTGCTGTTCCCTTTTTAACTCTACCTTTGTGTTGGGCATAGAGCCACGGGACACTTGATTCTTACAAAAACTGTAAGCATATCTGGTATTGTTATTACATTATTAAACAGATGAGGAAATTAGGGCCCAGAGAAGTAAGATAACTTGTCTAAGATCAACCAGTTAGTAAATAGCTGAATTGGGATTCAAACCCATGTCTGCCTAAATATGTCCCTTTTCCCCCAACAAAATAATCTCAATATTTTTAAATAAAACCTTTTCTTAGAGGTCTTACATTTTTCATAGTAACAGACTACCAACTGTCGTTTGAGGTTTCTCCAAGATCTTAAGATCTCTGACCAACAAAATGGGCAATCTTTTGAGGGAGAGAACATGTTTTTTTTTTTTCACAATTACATGCTTATCATTTAATATCAATTAATTATACCAATATAATTGCTTAAGATTTGTTTTTATAATGAATTAAACCAAGAATCACCAATCTAAAAAAAAAACAAACAATCCTTACAATGACAAGAAAGTATGAAGTCAGATTTCAACAGAGTGAGATAAATTAACCCCCAAACAAACCCCAATCTTGTGTTTTTGTGGCTTGGTGATTACTTCCACATCTCTGGTTTATTTCAACAGAATTTAGAGCCCTTGCCTTAGTGAAGTATAGAGTCCAATTCTCCCCAGTTTTTTTAAAAGACAAAAACTCTGGGGCACCTGGTAGGCTCAGTCAGTTAAGCAACGGACTCTTGATTTCAGCTCAGATCATGATCTCAGGGTTGTGAGATCGAGCCCTGAGCCCTGTGTTAAGTTCTGCAGTGGGCATGGAGCCTGCTTAAGATTCTCTCTCCACCACATCAAAAACTAATGATGTAATGTATGGTGATTAAAATAACAATAAAAAATAAAAAAAAAGATTCTCTCTACTTCTGCTTCTGCCCTCCCCTACCTCTAAAAAAAAAAAATAAATAAAAGACAAAAATGCCTTCAGTGTTTGTGTGAAAAAAAAGGTGCCGTAAATGTAAACTCCATCTGGAAATTGGCAAATCACCCCTGAGCTGGGAGCATGGCTTGCTGCAGCCTCTGTCCCCAGGAGGTCTTGTTCTATTTGTTAATGTTAGCAAATTCTTACTCAGGGAGAGGGTGAAATGACCAATGAACATTTCCTTTTCTGGTCAGAAGCATCCACATTTTACAGATGCAGTTTAAAATTGCTTAGTGGATGCTTTACTATAACTTGATATCAGCAAGACATACTAGACCCTTTCCTCATCTGAAAAATAATGTGATGGACACTAAACAGAGTGTCTGAAACTCAGGATGGTGTGCCCATGATTTAAAATATCATGTCTTCACTGATGGCTTGAAAATTTCTATCTCCAGCCCCTTATCTTGAGACAGTTAAACGCAAAGGCCAATGAAAATCTACACTTAAGTATCTGGCTGCAATCTTTTTTTTAATTTTTTTTTTATTTTTTATTGTGGTAAAATACATGTAACATAAAAGTTACCATTTTAACTACTTGAAAGTGTACGATTCAGTGGCATGAGGTATACTCCAACGTTGTTCAACCAGCACCACTATCTAGTCCAGAATTTTTTCATCACCCGAAATGGAAACCCAGTACCCATTATGCTGCAATTCATACCACTGGCCAGACACTACCAGTCACTAATCTGATTTCTGTCTCTATGGATTTGCCTTTTCTGTTTGTTTTTTTTTTTTAAATAAATGAAACCATGTAATAAAAAATAATACTCTGCTGAGATAGTTGCAAACATAGTATTTCAAAAAGAAGATTGAATATATTTGCTCAAAAAAGAATATTCTCACACTGTTGTCTTTGTAAATAAAGATCATCTTGACTATATATAGACATATGTATTTAATAACATGTTACATACACACATTCAAAATTAATAGTGTCAAGTTCAAAATATTTTCAGCCACAGACATAGAGTTACATTGTTTTGCTAAAGACAAATTGCTATAGCATTTTAAAGAACGCTTTGTTTTCTTCTGACTTGAGTCATGCTTTTAACTTTCTGAGCTATAATTTTACAGTTACTGTAGATGCCCACACATGTCCACATGGGAAAACCTGTGTGACAGATCTGGGGCTGCTTTAATCTGATTTTTGATTGGCAACTGATTAAATCAGTCAAAACTAGTCAAATTGTTTTTTATTGAAGCTGCCTGTGATGAGCGAACATCAGTTGTCTGATGAAAGGGAACAGTACTGCCCATTTTTGTAGAAGCCTTTCCTTGTGGGCTTCACTTTGTCTAAACCTGGACTCACTGGGAAGACTTAGGAGATCCAGCAGGCAGGGGGAGGGGAGGAAAAAGACACTCTTACTTGATATCTTTGGAATTCGAATTTGTTCACTGCTGCTGCCGTCTCCTCCATCACTGAATGGCTTAATTTCTATTATATAATCTTCATCAAAAGGCAAAGAAAGCTCCACTGATGTTTTATTTGTCTCAATGACAGATGTGCTGCTTTGTCTGTTCCATCTGTACAAGACCTGCCAATACAGAAAGAACAGGTGTCACCTGCTGTCCTCATAAAGACCCCAAAGATGGAGCATTCATCTGGGCACCAGCAAAATGTGGGGACGCTGAGGCTGTCAGGCTGCCCACACACACTGGGGAGACTCATTTATAGTAAGGGGCACATCTGCACCCACTGTTTCCTTATGAGGACACTGCAGCATGGGGACAGGGGTAACAGCAGTCAACCAACGCGCCATGTGGCCTCACATAACCTCTGGAAGGCGCAGGTAACACACCTGGAAGACAAATTCCTCTTGGAGGGCATACAGAGCTCAGTTACACATGAGGGGCTTTGGCATCAGAATCAACTTGGCCACTGTGGGACTATAGTCCTCTTTACAACCTGAGCTTCATTTTCCTCATCTGTGGATGAGGAAACGATGACACCCACCTTTCTGGGGTGCTTTCAAGAGTGCATAAGGATTGTGTATAAGTGAAGGACTTGGCTCAAAGGAAGCATGTTTACGACAGCTTAAAGGGAATGAGAGATAAACAAACATCGTTGGCAAAGGTGAGAAGCACAAGGCAGGCATCATACATTATTATTATTGTATGAATAATCTGGAGATTATTCATACAATATGAATGAATCCTCTGGAGAAAGCACATTTCAGCCCAGGGAGATGATCTCCGAAAGGCAAGGCAAGGGCAGAAACCCCCTTTTCCTCCCCCTGGTGACCCCTTTCTGAGCTACGTAGAAAATAGGAGATATTCTGTGGTGATCACTGTCACTCCAGAATTGTCTATAGCTTCAATAGTCCCACTCGTGTTTCCCTTCTTGGCCTCCCCTGGATGGGAGTCTGGGTTGGTGGCTCATTTGATGAGGTTCCCAACTAGGTCTCCTGAAAACACATCCCCCTGCCAGGAATTGCCTACTCTGATTGCCACCAACTCCAACCAGAAACAAAATCTAAAAGCCTGGACAAGCGCATCTTCCCTTTTGGATATAACAACTGTGATGATAACTGTCCCACAAACACTTTCTGATGTTGACTGTGACCTAGGCACCTTAACAATATCGTCATGTTGAACTGTCACAACAATTGGTCAACACAGGCATTATTATTCCTTGCCACAGATCAGAAAACAGAGGCTGGATGAGGTCACAGAGCTGGTAAGTGGCAAGGTGAGAACTCCTAAACCCCTACTCCTAAATCATGATCCTCCAATACTGCCAGTTTCTCCTGGTAGTGAGAAACAGAGGGGTAGGTGATCAGTGTTCTCTGTCCTGGCTGTGTGGCAGGAGAACATGGGGAACGTGTAAAAAAATATTGACACCCTAGCCCAGTGCTTCTCAAGGTGGGTGGAGAGTTGGGGGAGCTGGAGGGGCAATTTTGCTCCTCTCCCGGGGCGGGGGGGGCATTTGGCAATGTCTGCAAACATTTTTGGTTGTCACAACAGGTGCTACTGTTTACGGGTGGGGGGCCAGGGATGCTGCAAAACATCCTACAATGCAGAGGACATTCCCTTCACTGAGAGTTCTCCAGCCCAAACTGGCCAAAGTGAAGAGGCTCAGAAAGCCTGCTATGGCCCCACTCCAGAGTTAGACTCCACGGAGGTGAGGCTGAGGCTGCGATACTTAAAAAAAGAGTTGACGTGATATTAATGTGGCTGGAAATCCTGGATTAGATCAAGGATCTAACCTGTGTATCAGAATTGCCTGAAAGGCTTGTTCAAACACAGATCACTGGACCCCACCCTGGAGTTTCTGACTTAGTGGGTCTGAGGTTGCACCTGAAAATCTCCATTTTTAACAAGTTCTCAGATAATGCCATGGCCTCTGGTCCAGGAACAGCACTTTGAGACCCTTAAGATTAGCTCACATTTCAAAATTCTGATCTGCTGAAGTTAGAGACATAAGGCCACTCCACTATTGCAATAAAAACCAAACACACATAAAATTCAAAAAATTCCCTTAAAATGGTATAGATCCCATTTGTTCCCTGGCATTTCATCACCTTAATTTATATCTCTCTAATACAAGGTGGAAAACGCAATTTCCTTAAGGTGGAAAGATTCATAAGCGCCCCCCTTCCTTCTCCGCAGCATCAGTTGTATCCAGCTCGGCGTCCCCTTGTTAATGATCAGGCTCAAATAAATCCTCAGGCACATTCAGGAGTGTCAAAGCGTCTCATCACGGCCCTTCAGGAACATGGGCTGGCTGATGGGATGCAAGGGCACATCTGGCTTTGAGGAATAAATTGCTTCTTTGATTTACCTCTGGTCCTTGCCAAAGCACAGAGAATTTAACCAGTTTCAAATATAAATCCAAAAGAAACATTTCCAGGAAAAAACAGCCCTGTTATCAGCACGGCTTATCAGTCTTGTAATATTAGGGACTGCATTGGAACCTAAATAAAAGCCTGTAAAACCTTTATTTACACCAAACACTCGGTTCAGCTGACTGATCTGAAGGCTGTGCTTGCATTTCATATAATCCAGGGTGGAAGACAGGGGGGAAAGAGTGGATTCATGGGAGTAATGATAACAGTAGCAAACATGATTCAATGCTTACTTTGTGTTTGAACATCGTATGTTCTTTTTTTTTTTAATGAAAAGTAAGAGAAGTTTAATTTTTGTTCTTATCACATTAGACAGTGTCAGCAACCTGAAATTACTTCAGTTGTAGTCCATTTTTCAATGTCTGGGTGAAACATCAAAGTGGAGATTTGTCCTAAGTTATCAAAGATGACAAGTTTTGCCTTGGGAATCAGTAAGAGTTGCTGAAATGGAGCCATTGGATCTCTGATTTTCTCACCAGATGTAGATCAATATATGAAGTGTCCAGACCATCAGTACCCAAAAAGAAAGAGAAGTCACAGCCTCCCAAAGGTGTGATTTCCTTGGACTTCAGTGACCCTTTGGGGATGGTCCTTAGTGCACAGTTCTGTGCTTCTGTTCTTACAGAACAGCTACGGTCCCTGGATATTTTAAATCACTGAGACATTCCCGTCATCAAGGTTAACAATAGGGCTCTCAGCTACTTTCCCTCAAACTGCACTTTCTCTGCTCCTTGTCCTTCATTGGATGTCCTTGTATACTACAACAAACAACATTTAAGTGAGTATGTTCTATGGCTGTTCCCACTCTTTGGCTACAACCATCACAGTGATCTGGCTTTCGAGACCACCACACCAGGGAGAAAGATGAGGCAGTGATTGGTAGCAGAGCACCTAATTTGTGTTATTTTGACCTGTGTTTCGATTCAAAACACTATCTATAGAACCTGGCAGGGAACCTCTCCCCACTTCACCGACACAGACATAGACTCGGCTCCTGGAGATGTCCTCCTCACAAGCAACGAGCGCTCTGTCACCACCTTCTACCATGTTATGGGATGCCTGGGCTCTTTGACCCTGGGGAGCTGCATTGTGGCTTTGGAGGAATCTGCCTGACATCTTCAATGAGGCCAGTGAACACTATTTGTTCTAAGTACTAAGACCATCACCTCTTGAGTTAGGCACTCTTACCATTCTGATTTCAAAGATGAGGACGCTGAGACGTGAAGATATTATGCAATTTGCCCAGAGTACCATGAACAGTAAAGGGTATATTTAACATTCAAACCCAGGCAGTCTGGGTCAACAGCCTATATTCTTAACTCAGCCTAGTTTGGCCACCATCTGTGTGGGAAAATTGTTTCCCCTCTCCGGTGTCTGTCTTCATGAATGCAAAACAAGGAGGTTAGATGGTAGAAAACAGATAGCCCATGGGTCACATCTGGCCTGCATATTTTAACTGTTTGGCTCTTGTAGTGTTTATTTTATTTTGAGTTAGAAGTCAACACTTAAAACTGTCCAAAAAGTTATACATGAAAAGAATGTTGGGTTTTGCTGAAAAAACTGGAAGATATGTCCACACTGTTGGGCAACAATATGCAAGAGCTCAGAAGCCATGGCTCCTTCTGGACAATGAGAAAATCTCTAATTCATCACAGTCTCCTATGCTTCCTGTTGTTTCACATTGGCATGTGCCCACCTCAGGACCTTTGCACATGCCATTCACTGTGCTTGGAACATCTTTTTCCCAGAAAGCTGTCTATCTTTCTTCCTTTTTCATGGCCCAACTGATATGTCTGAGCAAAAGTTCAGAGAACTATGAAGATACTAGAAAATTTCTCCTTTAATAAAAGAGAAAATGCAGTCCCAAGAGGTTAAGTGATTTACTTAGTCAGTCACATAGTCAATAGAGGACCAATATGTGGGTCTCCTATTTCTTTATGCTATATGCCAGAAGACCCTGGGCTCTTAAAAAAGGGCCCAGTAAAAGATCTGGAGATTAGTTTTTCAGGAATGTTTCTCTGTTGGTCCAATACAAACCACCGTGCCATGTAAATGAAAGAAAAGGAATCCATGACAGGGAGTGTTTTCCCGAATCTCTCTCTAATCATAATACCCAAGGTTCTACCACCAACTACACCAACTCCTAATTCCAGCTCTGGTTTTATCAACTACTTTCCCATGCTCTTTAACTAGTTCCTGACCAGTTAAACTAGTTAAACCACCTATCTATTAAGCTCAACATCTGTGTGCAAAAATGCCACAAAACAGAGCCTACAGACTGCTTTTGTTTGGCCTGCATTGCACTGTCTCGAATGTTGCTTAAAAGTAAAACAAAAGCAAGATAATACCAACTGCTTTTAATTGTGGCACCAAGGCTGTTCACATTTTCTTTTCTAGCTCTTTAAAGTCAGGTTAACACTCTGGGAATAGGCCAGTGAATCTTCTACAAATTCCTTGCTTCCTTTTCTCTATATAAATCTTTCTAACTCTAGGAACATGAACAAAAATGTTTAACCATTCATGATAGTGTTGATTAAAAAAAAAGACAATCAGGAAAAGCACAAAACAAAGCTGACAGGAGAGATGTTACAAGTGTGGGTCTTCATGAGTTTCTGAAGACACAACCACAGGGTCTTCAACCATTTCTGATTGACTGTCTGATTCTAAAGTTTAGGCAATTTTCTACAGTTGGCTTGTTGCCATGGACCATTTATAAAACTCAGAGCAAATCACTCTGGGGACAGAGATGCCTAGAGGGGCTGTGGGACATCATCAGGGAAAGTGAGAACATAGTTCATATGATTTCCTGAGAAGAGACTGTTCTTATTAACATCAGGATTAGGGGCCTCTGCAAAAAAGAAATTACCCACTTTGTATCCTTTTACTTCCGACTCATTATCTAGGGCCTTCACTTGATCCCAATTCAGGATAATTTTGGAGTCCGATGAATTCCATATGATGTTTCCGGGGGGTTGACTTGGTGCTATAAAAAAATTAAGATATACGAAGTCACAGATTATTAAGTCTCAATGGATTCTGAGGAATATCTCCTTACTAGAATTCAAGAGTGGAGGCAATTTAATGGGCTATTGCACTAATATGTGTCTTCAAGGTCACTAAAATCTGACGAGATACAGCATTGCAAATGGAAAAAGATTCAGTTGGTCGCCTAACATTTATAACTAAAAGAAGTAGCCCTTCTCAGTGAGGAAAAAAACATTTATCTTTCTGTCCTCTGGAGCAATGAATTTTGCATGGTATTCGGAAAGGTTTAGTTAAAATGCTAAGGTAAATTTGAATCCACATAATGATACCAATTAGTATGCAAATGATCATTGGGAGGTGGGGATGGGGAATGAACTGGGGATATATCTGATGAATCCCTAAAATATTTCTGAGCAAAGATGTTCTTACGTGGCTTTCTGGTTGTCACATTGACCGTTGCACTGGACGGGCCTGTCCCCGCAGTATTATATGCCTTGACAGCTAAATGATACAGCGCACTGCCTTTCAAATTGGTGATTTTTGTTGATGTCTGATTTCCAGTTGTTCGTATTTTTCTAGCATTTTCTTCCTTGTCATCATGTCTCCAGTATTTAACCTGAAAAAATAAAGGGAAGACCTTGGAAATCATACCTTTTGGGGATATTTCCAATGCCATCAGCTGATTTTTTAAAAAAATGCAGATTCTTATGATGGAATTAATTTTTTATACCAACTCATAAGCAGAACTTTCAGAGCCAAGGGCTTGGTATGCTCTGAGAATTTATCTGCAATAGGAAGGGCCCCCGTTTTTGTTCTTAGCTTCATAGCGAGATGGAAAATGGGCACAACCATTGTTGGCTATTTCTCACTTGTTCCCCGTATTTATTTTGAGCCCAAGTGATACTGCGTGTGTCAAAAGTCAAAGCTCATTTCGCCAACCCTCTTATAAATGCTTAGACCCACAAGTATTTTGGAAAAGATTTCTCAAGTATACCAGAGAAAGGGTGATCTCATAGCGGAATGTTAATGCTTCAACTAATGTCTACTAGAAGACATCGTTCTCTGAAACAAATTCCTCTAAATGGGAATCTGAGTCTTTTTCTCAATAGAAAGTGTCTTGAAGGTGTCAGTGAAGGGTAGATCTTTCCCAGACCCAATGTGCATATCTCTTGCTTACCTCATAGCCTTGTATCCGTCCTCTATTCTTCTCCATGGGGGAGGCCCAGAAAACTTCAATGTCTGTGGCAGACAGACTTCTGGCAAAGATGCTGGCTGGTGGTTTGGTGGGTTCTACAGATAAGTGTGGAAAAAGTAATTACTCTGTCAGCCTCATCAGGATAGGTTTCTAGATACTGGCATTATAAAGAATAAATAACTCATGGCTGTATAACAGCCCTTAGTGATTATGACCCTAACCATCATTTTACAGAGGAGCCATGATTAATAGCTGGAAGGGAGTGGTGCTTTAGATGGTAAAGACAAAGCCTTTGGCTTCTAAATTTGGGGGTAGACGGAAGGGAAGTAACCCAGGACTGCTTAAATTTAAGCATCAAGTTTTCATAGCTAGCAGTTCCTTTAACACATATCCTTCTTAATTAGCATTTGCCACAGGTGAGAGTCCTTGTCATTGGATTATGAAAACAAGAGCATGAGAACGAAGGAAAGCCAACTGACTTGACTAAGATCCAGCAGAGCTGGCGGACAGCTCAGTCCTAAAATCAACACCATCTCAGAAGTGAACAAATATCACACATAGAGGCAGCATAAATCATACCTTCTTCTGCAGAATATACTACTGTGGTGGGACTGAAAGGGCCTTCTCCCTTATTGTTGAAGACGCCCACTTTAACCTCAAAGGGAGAGAAGGGGCGCACGCTCTCGTTCTTGAACACGTATCTGGAGGCATCGGCTGATGCCAGCACTGTCAACATCCAGATCATTTTGCCATAGGGCCGGAAGGCCACCACGTAGCCAAAGCCTCTGCCATTCTGCAATTCCTCGGGGACAGTCTGGGAAAGAAGGGAGGTAGTCTTCAGAAAGCACAGCAGTTCGATTCAAACGCTAAAGTTGTTTTATTTCACCCTACCTTCCAACATTCTTATATACCTTCTTGCCCACCTATCTTACTTTGGATTTTGTCAAGAGACTTAGGTGTGGGGCTTGCCATCAGCCTACCTTAGCTGTGGATGAGGTGTTGAAGTAGGGTTAAACCAAAAAACAAACCCCAATGAGAACCTGCAGAGGAGAGCCGAGCTTCTTGATGGGGGACACCTAGCTCTGAAGTTCTTAGAAATGACTAGGAAATTCAGTGGCTAGTTGATCTAGGATCCAACAATGCAACATGTTCCGTCCAATATGAATCTTCCTCCAGTGCCAAACAGACAAAAGATCTCATTGAAGATCTCATCTTGGCTCAGGCAAGATCTTCCCCCTCAGAACTGAGGAGTTGAGCTGGAGGGGGTGAGTAATTTCTTTTACTGCTGGGGCTTTAGTCAAATGAAAGATTTTAACTTTGGGGACTATTGTCTAGAATCTTTCAAAAACATTAAGAACCCTTTATAAAACTCCAATCTCCTCTCTCAAAATCAATTTTTAATAAATTGGTAACTAACCTGCCTCCAAGTTGTTTTAAAAATACCTCATAGAAGAGGGCTCGCTCCAGAAGCAAAGCCAATTGCCAGGAAATTGTGCTGGTACACCAAATCTTTTGCTGGCAGAGGTTTTAAATCAAGTGGCTATGCATCAATTCAGGAAGGAAGGAAAACTGGTTTTCTTTGAACCAGCCTTCACAGATATATATACATATATATTTTTTCTTGTGTTGTCTTCCATTTCATGATTGTTTTTTCTGTGATGAATCCAATTAAAACTTAATTCAACAATTGATGGGCAAGCACCATCTTTTCCTGCTGCCCATCAGCTAGGTGAGAGGGAGTGTTTGCACGCCACTGAATTTTAGCTCTTAAAAACACAGGAGATGACTTCTCAGAGTTGTTTAACATAGAGGAAAAAAATAAAATAGCCTAGACTACCATACGTTCCTTTTGTTCCATGATTCATTTACCTCCCAGGTTATAACCAGTTCAGATTTGCTGCCTCCACCACCACTGACGTTAGCTGGGGTGACTTCGGGGACTGTGCAGGAAACAAAAAACAAGTCATGTCAGGTGGTAAAAGCAAATGAGGGGCAGCAAGGTCGCCTGGCTGAAGTGACTCACTTTATTTTTTTTTAAATTTTTTATTTTTTAAAGATTTTATTTATTTATTTGAGAGAGAGCACATGAGAGGGGGGAGGGTGAGAGGGAGAAGCAGACTCCCTGCCGAGCAGGGAGCCCGATGCGGGACTTGATCCAGGGACTCCAGGATCATGACCTGAGCCAAAGGCAGTCGCTTAACCAACTGAGCCACCCAGGCGCCCATGAAGTGACTCACTTTAAACAAATATGCTGATAAACATATCTTTGTCTTTTGAGATCAGAAGCAGTGTGGCCAAGTGGCCCAAAGCATCAGTTTAAAGAAGTGAAACGTACCAAGGAAACTGCTATTAGTTACCTGTTTCCCATTCAACAAGGTACACAAGGTATGTGACAAGTCTGACCAAATGAGTTCAGCTCCATCCCTAGAGGCCGAGCTTCAGTGGTTTGAAAGGACTGAGGTTCTGGTTCTAATGCTTGGAGAGATGTTTATTAACTATGCGGTAGTACATAAAAGACAGACAATACACACTCAGCCCATGCAGAACTTACAATCTCTTTAGAGGTAGAGAGCACATGCAGAACAATTACAGAGGCATGTTGACAATAAACAACAATACGGTGCAGACAGATTGAAGTGCAGTGGTGATCTGAAGTAGCAGGCTGCTCAGGGTAGGGTTGGGCTAATGGCTTCTCAGAGGAAGGGGAGTTTTGAGATGGGTGCTGAAGGAGGTGGTGGACATAGGTTGACCCCTGGCTCACTGTGCTTAACCTCTTTCATCCCCAGTTTTCTCTGTAAAAGAGGGGAAATTATGCTCTGTAAAAGAGGGGAAATTATGCAGTCTCAGGACTGCTGAGAGTAATCAATTCAAGGACAGTTTTGGAGGGGGAAAAGAGAGCATGGGGATTGGCTAGTTATCATCATATAAACAAAAGACTCCAGACAGAATTTAAAAATTGGTGACTGGGTGTGTTCCCTCGGTGAAAGCCAATGAAATACATCTAGATGGATTTCTGTCCAAAGAGTAGGATCAGAATTCCCATTTGCTTAGAAACCTTTAACAAACATTTGGCCTTATCACAGTTGGGGACTCGCAAAGACCCACACGCAGGCCTCCTACTTCTCAAGAGAGAAGGAAATGTACAACTGAGGCAGATGCACATTATTCTCACCCTGTGCTCATTCAGGCTGTGAACACAGAGGGTCATACTAAATTGCTGACTGGGCTTGTAAGAATTGGCAGGATGTTCTGAATCTTAGCTTCTGGGAATGGTTGATACTCTTGAGAAAATTTTACTGAATATTTCTGAAGAACTTATTCTTTGCAACTAGTGATTTCTGTGTGTTAATTTCATTTGAAATGTGGGTGTGTATTAAAAAAATAATTCCTCGTTGAAGAATCTTGGTGACAAGTGAGCCAATGAAGAAAGAGTTGGCGTTCCAAAGAACTAAGCATGGGGTGTCTCTCCCTGTACAAGGAGACCCAGTGAAAAGTGAGAACTTAACTCTTGACTGAAACTCAGTAAGCTGAGCATCTACTGGCTTGATTTCTGATCATTATAATCATTCAAGAGAAGGGGGTGCTAAAACAGAGCCTCATTAGGGCTGAAGAGCAGGAAGAATTCAAAGCCTTTCCCTAAGAGATCATAGCCACTGGCACCGACTTTGTGTCCTGGCTGCTACTCACGAGCCTCTTCTGTCCTGCGCTTCTCCGAGGGCCGGCTGGGCTCCCCGATCCCAATCACATTGGCGGCAACGGTGCGGAATTCATACTCGACCCAAGGGTTCAAACCCACGACAGTCGCTGTGAATGTCTTCCCATCAATAAGTTCTGGGACTGAAAGACATCGAAAGGTGGGGATGTTTTACAGGATTCCACGTTAAGCAGATAGGAGCTTCCATCCATCATCATCACCATTACTGTGTGCAGGGCATTGTAGTTGGTCTGAGACAAGTTGTACAACAGCTGTTACAGGGAAGTAATCCCAGAATTCTCTTTTGCTAAACTAACAAGTTCAAATCAGATGCCAGCAGATGACATTACGGTCTTTAAGGCCCCAAAGCACTTGACTGTAATCATTATTACTATCACCTAATACATTTTTCAGCATTTACTGCACAGTATTGGGCACACTGTTTACTTTTTACAACTGTTCTATGAGTAAAGTAAAATTACTGTCTTCATTTTTATAGATGAGGAAAATGTGCCTTATAAAGATTAAGTTACTGACACAAGATTGCACTGGATTTGCACCTTCGACTGCGTGGTCCAAGCTCTATAACTTACTATAATAATGAAATTAACAATATTACAAACCTATAATACCACTGACAGGAACTGTGCTAACATGTCTCAAGAAAGAATCTGTAAACATAAAAGAAAAGGCCATGAAAAACACAAAAAAGGGAGTCAGAGAGGTAGAATTTGACAGTATTCACCCAGCAGTATTTGGAGAAGGGCTCCTTCCCAAGAGGACATGGCCCACTGTTTGATGCCATAAACCAACAAGCTATGGACATTGTCTCCATGCTCAAGGCCCCAAAGCGCTTGAGTAATCATTATTACTATCACCTAATACGTTTTTCAGCATTTACTGCACAGTATTGGACACACTGTTTACTTTTTACAACTATTCTATGAGTAAAGTAAAATTACTGTCTTCATTTTATAGATTTTTGAGTTCTAAATGGGTTGTCATAAGGATTTCCCATGTAAGGGGTGCCCAGCTGGCTCAGTCAGTACAGCATGCAACTCTTGATCTTGGGGTTGTGAGTGCAAGCCCCACATTGGGTGTAGAGCTTACTAAAAAATAAAATAAAATAAAATAAAATAATAAAATAATTAGATTTCCCATGTGGCCCAGAAGACTCAAAGGAAGGTCTCCTGTGACAAAACTGAGGTCATCATACTGGTGACTAGGATTCAGTGGCTGCCAGCCTCCTTAGGCCACACTAACACAGTCCTAGCCTCCAAAGGTAAGGAGTGTGGGCTTTGGAGTTAGACCATCTGGATTCTAAACTTGAACCCACACTTAGTAGCCCAATGACCTTGCGTAAGTCTCTTAACCTTTCCATGCCTTGGTTTCCCTACCATACAATGAGGCTAATAACAATATCTATTCACAACACTGTTGAGAAAATCCAAAAAAAAAGCACCTAGCAGAGCATATAGCACATTGCAAGGGCTCAGTAATTTCTAGTGTTGTTTTTTTTTTTTAACCATTATTATTATCAGCGGTAGCATCTTCATCCTCTTCCTTTTCTTCATTATATTTCTGTAGTACTTCCTGTTCTTAAAAATGTTTCACAATTGTTTCTCTTTTGGGTCATAAACAATTCTTATCATGCCCATATCATTATCATGCCCAGAAGAGGAAGATGCAGTCGTATAGAGATCTGCTGAGTAGCTGAGTCAGGGCTAGCACGATCCCCTAACTTCCAGATTTTTTCTATCTTTCCTTCCTAAGCACTCCTCTGACTCAGAAGAAAGTCAGAGATTGAGCTGGAAACACAGAAACCCATTTCTGAGGTTGGATAAGCTGATGTGAAAAAAAATGAGGTTGTTAAAATCAATATGATTCATCTGAATTGCACAAAACTAGGCCTATCACTCCATGCATTTCTACCTCAAAACATCAAGACCACACAGCCAACCCTTGGGGACTAGAGGAGTGTGTACCTTGCTTGCAATAACTACTTGTTTGTCCATTATTCCTCAAATGAAACCTAGATAAAATAACAAGCGTCAATTTGGAGGGGCAGGGATGGTATGGCCAACTCACATAGTTTTTTTTTTTTTAAGATTTTATTTATTTATTTGACAGAAAGAGAGATAGCAAGAGCAGGAACACAAGCAGGGGGAGTGGGAGAGGGAGAAGCAGGCTTCCTGCCGAGCAGGGAGCCCGATGTGGGACTCGATCCCAGGACCCTGGGATCATGACCTGAGCCGAAGGCAGACGCTTAACGACTGAGCCACCCAGGCGCCCCTCACATAGTTTTTAATATAAGAAAATATCATGCCTCTTCATGTCCAAATTTAGCCATCTAAAAAAAAAAATAGATAGCAAGTCAAGAGGCTCTAGGCAGTCCTTAGTTACTGGTTTCTTGAGAGCTGTATATAAACTTTAGAGAGACTATGTAGACTGGCATAATCCACTGCTTCTCAAAGTGTATTATCAGTAGTACACAGATAATTTTAGGTAATATGCAGATTGATGCATTTTATTTTTACAACTAATATATTTTAATATGTATGTTAAGAAAAAATATAACCAACATACAGACCTAGCATTTCATAGACATTATTGCTTAGGACAAGTTCAAAAGCAAACAAACGTGAGTTGATATAAAGAAAAATATTAAATAAATGATAGTACCATTGACTGAGGTTTAGGAAATACTGCCATAATGTCTCATTCATAGCTGTGTCTGAATAAGAACCTAGATGGCCCTTGGCTTCTGCCACGGTGCTTTGTCCATTATGCTGAGTTTTAGAAGCCTCTGTGAGACACCAGCACCAGGCATCCAATATGGTACCTGTATTGACTGCTTGCCAGCCCACGGAGAACGGAGTCCTGGCTTGAATGACATACATGGTGATGGGGCTGTGGTTGTCAGGTCCAGATCTCCAGGAGAGCTGAGCGGTGGTATCTGTAATTTCATCTATGGTCACAGCCTCTGGGGGTCCCGGGGGACCTGTGAAAGAGCAAGACCCTCAGAAGTGGAGCAGTGCATTCCACATGTCCAAGCAAGTGATTGTATAAAATTGAATGCAATGCTGATCTATTCAACCATTTATTCACCCGCTTACAGATTCATCACTTGTCAATTCCTTTTTGAATGCCTATTGGGTGCCCAACATTCTTCTAGGTTCTGAAACTGCAGAGATGAACAAGACACAGACCCTTCTTTCTAGGGGCTCACTATATAATCAGAAAAAAAAAATAGGTAAACAAAGAATCAAAATAGAATACTGGTTTCAAATGCTAGGAGAAAATAGTGGGATGCCACAAAAGCTCAAATTCATTAATTCATCTATCATATATTTACAGGTTTCTGGTATGGGTCGGGCAGTGTTATCTGTGGATAGAGTAGTGATAAATGAAGATGACAGTCTTTTGGAAATGGTCATTTCTAGCACTGAGAATGTGGATTTGAGCAGAACTGGCTTTGGAACTTTGATGGTCACAATGCTGCTCCATACATTCCCACTGCACTGTAATTAGTGACCCCACCCTTGCCCCACGTCATATGCAAACACACACTTCTATGCAAGGGAACCCCTGTGAAAATGGCCAGTGCTCAAGAGTCACAAGATTGTGGCTTCCTCAGTACAACTTCAGAACCGGGCTGGAGTCTAAAGACCCTCATTTGCAGTTTCTGAAAGTCATACCTGTATTTTTCCATTTATCTTCCTGATGTTCACTGTTTCTGCCCATGTATTTAAACCACAGAAATGAGAGGAAATCAGTTTTAAATGAAGGCTTGGAAATCATAAATAAACAGAGGATGGAAAGCAGTAGGCAAACAAACACAAAGTATCAACCCAAGCAAAGCTCCAGAAGTGTCTTAGATTCCAACAGGAAAATCTCTTACCAGGCAGTTAAATGCATTTGTAGCAAGATACAACTGACCACCTCAGGAGGGAAGGTGATTGTGAGGGAGACATGATAATCCTCATGTCCCAGAGAGAGGAATAAGGAGATATTCCGGGAGGGCTTTGCTCAACCCCATATAGCGGTCAAGTGAAGTGCCATGCACTGCTGGGCCATGTCACCGGGCAGGGAAGAAAGACATCTAGCAGAGTGGTGAAAAGTTAAATGTAATTTCCTGAAGTAAGACTTTGTTCTGAGATTCACTCCTGTACCCTTCATAGGATGCCCTAAATTTCTCTTTCCTTTTTTAAAAATCATTTTTATAGACCCACAGGTGAAACTAAATTTATCTTCTCCCTCCTACTCCTGAATGAAAGGTCTGGAAATCTGTACACTGAAACTGATTAATTTTCCATGGTGACATTTCAGCATGCCAATCTAATGCCACCTGGATAGAGCTGTGGCAAACTTTGGTCTTTGCAACCCTGATTAACCAGATAAAGTCCAGAAGACTGCATCAACGTCTTTTTTCTTACTAGCTTTCTCATCCTAGATTCCCACCCCCAATCCCCATTTTAATGGATGCTCTTTTTTGATGGCCTTTAAAATCAAAGTACTATAAGTAGAAAAGTGTTCCCCTCTAAACTCCTCAAGGAACTAAATTGATAGAAATTATCTGAGCCCGCTGTGGGCAGCCGAGTAAAGGAAAATGAAGGGGTGGTATGAATTTGGCCACTGGCGGTAAAATGGTACTTTCATAACTTTGTTTGCTCTGTATGCTCCTGCCAATGACCACAGCAGTGTGTAGATAGGACCTCACAGAGCGTTTGCCAACTTTGTGTTGGGGAAGTTGGGTCCCTCTTTCAAAATGAGAAAATGAGCCAATGTTTATCCTCTGAACAAAATGTTCACATGGTTAGGGGCTCACAGATGTTTTGGTCAAGGCAACAGAAGAGGGAATGTTGGTGTGAGACCAGTGCCTCAGCTTCTCTGCTAGTGAAGAAGGGCCTTTCTACCTGCCCATAGCAGGCTATACACTAAATAAAGTAGGAATCAGAGAATCAAGGGGGCTGGAGCCAAGACTCAAAGCTTTACCAGTTTCAGATACAAAAATCTCTTACAGGGCAGTGAAATGCATTTCTGCATCCTCTCTGTAATATGCAGAAAAAGCTGCAAGGGCAGAGCTAGAGGAAATAAAACGAAATATTATGGTTTAAAATGGCATATTAATTTATTGGCTTTATTAACTGATTAGACCAGATTTTCTTTTAGACTGAGTTTGCAAATTCCTCTTGGTATTTAATGTTATTTTCTGTGAAATGAAGTATACAATATCATTTAAGAACTTCAGGTATTACTGATTTAAATATTTATTAGTCTAATTTATTGGTGTTTAAACTGCTGATCTGAACATTATCCTAATTAAATAGAGGATAAATTTTCGGCAACAGAGTTCTTTTGTCCCCAGGGAGAGAGCAGACCAGCACTCATGTATTTTAAAATGGAAATAGGGGGGAGGGGAAAGATGGCAGAGGAGTAGGGGACCCTATTTCAACTGGTCCCCGGAATTGAGCTGGATAACTACAAGACCACTCTGAGCACCCATGAAACCAGCCTAAGATGTAAGAAGATCTGGAGCTCTACAAACAGAATATCGCAGGCAGTTGGTTTTGAGGTATGAAACGGAGAGCGGTGATCCTGAGGGCAGATACTGGAGGATAAACGGCGGCGGGAGGGTGCCTGGCTGTGAGGATCCTACACCACCGGTGAGTGACAGCCTCGCGGGCTGCGGACGGGGCACAGACTCGCAGACCAGTAGCGTCAGGAAAGGACTTTAGGGCAGCCCCCGGGGTGGAAAACCAGACCAGCGGGGTCGCGCGCACGCGAACCGCAGCCCCCCCAACCCCCCCGACAGAAACCAAAGAGATGGTCGCGTGCACGCAAACTGCAGCCTCCGAGACCGAGACCGAAACCGGTGCGCCAGGGTCCCGCCAGTGAACTGCAACCCCCGGGGTGGAAACCCCGAGCAGCAAAATCACGCGCACGCGAACTGCAGTCCCCGGGACAGAACCCCAAGTGGCGGAGTTGTGTGCGTGTGTGAACAGGGAGTGGCTGGCGGTTTTAGAAGCACAAAGGGCAGAGACGTGCCCCGACCTGGAGGCAGGACTGGGAGCGCTGTGGAGGGGCGCACAACCCAGGATGCTGCAGTTTATAGCAGCATAGACAGAAACGGAGACAGTGTGGCCTGGAGAGCTCACTGAAGAACAGACTGAGGTCTCTCTGCTCTGAGGCAGAGGGTTGGAAATGGTCTCTTCTGCTCTGACTCGCGGAAGAGACGTGGAAAGCTGCCAGGGAAAGGCACCAGAGAACAAAAGCCCCAAAGACTGATTCCCACTGAGCCCATCCCCTGCCACAGGGGCGCAGGGCAACTCCACCCAAACAGGGTTGCCTGAGTAACAGCCCGCAGGCCCCTCCTGCAGAAGACAGGCTGGGAAAACAAGAGGCCAGCAACCCTAAGGTCCCAAGAAAACAGGTGCATCTTGCTTGGGTTCTGGTCAATAATTTGGACTCTATACATTCCCTCAAACACCCATCAACAGAATGACTAGGAGGAGGAGCCCCCAAAACAGAAAAGACTCAGAGATTATGACTTATGCTGCAGATTTACAAATGGATGCAGATATAACCAAGATGTCGGAGCTGGAATTCAGGCTAGCAATTGTGAAGACAATGGCTAGAATGGAGAAATCAATTAATGGCAACATAGAGTCTCTAAGGGCAGAAATAAAAGGTGAATTGGCAGAACTTAAAAATGCTATCAATGAGATCCAATCCAATCTAGATAATCTAACAGCTAGGGTAACTGAGACAGAAGAGAGAATAAGCGATCTGGAAGACAGTATAATAGATAAAAAGGGAAAAGAGAAGGCCAGGGAAAAACAACTCAGAATCCATGAAAATAGAATCAGAGAAATAAGTGACACCATGAGGCGTTCCAATGTCAGAATCATTGGAATCCCGGAGGGAATGGAGAGAGAGAGAGGGCTAGAAGATGTATTTGAGCAAATCGTAGCTGAGAACTTCCCTAATCTGGGGAATGAAACAAACATTCGAGTCCTAGAGGCAGAAAGGACCCCTCCTAAGATCAAGGAAAACAGGCCAACACCCCGGCATGTAATAGTAAAACTTGCAAATCTTAGAACCAAGGAAACCATCTTAAGGGCAGTTAGGGGGAAGAGATTCCTTACGTACAGAGGGAGGAACATCAGAATAACGTCAGACCTATCCACAGAGACCTGGCAAGCCAGAAAGGCCTGGCAAGACATATTCAGAGTACTAAATGAGAAGAACATGCAGCCAAGAATACTTTATCTGGCAAGGCTGTCATTTAGAATGGATGGAGAGATGCAGAGCTTCCACGACCGGCAGAAGTTGAAAGAATATGTGACCACTAAGCCGGCCCTGCAAGAAATATTAAGGGGGGTTCTGTAAAAGGAGAAAGACCCCAAGAGTGATCTACAACAGAAATCTACAGGGACAATCTATAAAAACAACGTCTTCACAGGCAACATGATGACAATTCATATCTTTCAATAATCACTCTCAACGTGAATGGCCTAAACGCTCCCATAAAACGGCACAGGGTTGCAGATTGGATAAAAAGACAGGACCCATCCATATGCTGTCTACAAGAGACTCATTTTGAACCTAAAGATACATCCAGACTGAAAGTGAAGGGATGGAGATCCATCTTCCATGCCAGCGGACCTCAAAAGAAAGCTGGGGTAGCAATTCTTATATCAGACAAATTAGATTTTAAACTAAAGTCTGTAATAAGAGACACAGAAGGACACTATATCATTCTTAAAGGGTCTATCCAACAAGGAGATCTAACAATTGTAAATATCTATGCCCCCAACATGGGAGCAGCAAACTACATAAGCCAACTGTTAACCAAAATAAAGAGTCATATTGATAACAATACGTTAATTGTAGGAGACCTCAATACTCCACTCTCAACAATGCACAGATCATCTAAGCAGAAAATCAACAAGGAAACAAGAGCTTTGAATGATACATTGGGCCAGATGGACCTCATAGATATATATAGAACATTCCACCCGAAAACAACAGAATACTCATTCTTCTCGAGCGCACATGGAACTTTCTCCAAAATAGACCATATACTGGGTCACAAATCAGGTCTCAACTGATACCAAAAGACTGAGATTATTCCCTGAATATTCTCAGACCATAATGCTCTAAAACTGGAACTCAAACACAAGAAAAAATTTGGCAGAAATTCAAACACTTGGAAGCTAAAGACCACTCTGCTCAAGAATGTTTGGGTCAATCAAGAAATCAAAGAAGAACTTAAACAATTCATGGAAATCAATGAGAACAAAAACACATTGGTCCAAAACCTATGGGATACTGCAAAGGCGGTCCTAAGGGGGAAATACATAGCCATCCAAGCCTCACTCAAAAAAACGGAAAAATCCCGAATTCACCAACTAACTCTACACCTTAAAGAACTAGAGAAAAAGCAACAAATGACGCCTAAGCCACGCATTAGAAGAGAAATAATTAAAATTAGAGCAGAAATCAATGAATTAGAAACCAGAAACACAGTAGATCAGATCAACGAAACTAGAAGTTGGTTCTTTGAAAGAATTAATAAGATTGATAAACCACTGGCCAGACTTATCCAAAAGAAGAAAGGACCCAAATTAATAAAATTATGAATGAAAGGGGAGAGATCACGACTAACACCAAGGAAATAGAAGCAATTATTAGAAATTATTATCAACAACTATACACCAATAAACTGAGCAATCTGGATGAAATGGAGGCCTTCCTGGAAACCTATAAGCTGCCAAGACTGAAACAGGAAGAAATTGACAACCTGAATAGGCCAATAACCAGTAACGAGATTGAAGCAGTGATAAAAACTTCCCAAAAAACAAGAGTCCAGGGCCTGATGGATCCCCTGGGGAATTCTACCAAACATTCAAAGAAGAAATAATACCTATTTTACTGAAGCTGTTTCAAAAAATAGAAACAGAAGGAAAACTTCCAAATTCATTCTATGAGGCCAGCATTACCTTAATCCCCAAACCAGGCAAAGACCCCATCAAAAAGGAGAATTTCAGACCAATATCCCTGATGAATATGGATTCCAAAATTCTCAACAAAATCCTAGCTAATAGGATCCAACAATACATTAAAAGGATCATCCACCACGACCAAGTGGGATTTATCCCTGGGATGCAAGGGTGGTTCAACATTCGCAAATCAATCAATGTGATAGAACACATTAATAAGAGGAGGGAGAAGAACCATATGGTCCTCTCAATAGATGCAGAAAAAGAACTTGACAAAATACAACATCCTTTCCTGATTAAAACTCTCCAGAGTATAGGGATAGAGGGAACATTCCTCAAGTTCATAAAATCCATCTATGAAAAACCCACAGCGAATATCATCCTCAATGGGGAAAAACTGAGAGCCTTTCCCTTAAGACCAGGAACACGTCAAGGGTGCCTGCTCTCACCACTGTTGTTCAACATAGCACTAGAAGTCCTAGCAACAGCAATCAGACAACAAAAAGAAATGAAAGTATTCAAATTGGCAAAGAAGAAGTCAAACTCTCTCTTTTCGCAGATGACATGATACTTTATGTGGAAAACCCAAAAGACTCCACCCCCAAATTACTAGAACTCATCCAGCAATTCAGTAATGTGGCAGGATACAAAATCAATGCACAGAAATCAGTTGCTTTCTTATACACTCACAACGCAACTGTAGAAAGAGAAATTAAACGATTCCATTTACAATGGCACCAAAAACCATAAGATACCTCGGAATAAACCTAACCAAAGAGGTAAAGGATCTATACTCTAGGACTACAAAACACTCATGAAAGAAATTGAAGAAGACACAATGCTCCATGGATCGGAAGAATAAACATTGTTAAAATGTCTATGCTACCCAGAGCAATCTATACCTTCAATGCCATCCCGATCAAAATTCCAATGACATTTTTCAAAGTTCTGGAACAAACAATCCTAAAATTTGTATGGAATCAGAAAAGACCCAGAATAGCCAAGGAGATGTTGAAAAAGAAAAAGCTGGGGGCATCACGTTGCCCGATTTCAAGCTATATTACCAATCAGTGATCACCAAGACAGCATGGTACTGGCACAAAAACAGACATACAGACTAATGGAACAGAATAGAGAACCCAGATATGGACCCTCAACTCTATGGTCAAATAATCTTTGACAAAGCAGGAAAAAACATGCAATGGAAAAAAGACAGTCTTTTCAATAAATGGTGCTAGGAAAATTGGACAGCCACATGCAGAAGAATGAAACTTGACCATTCTCTAACACCATTCACAAAGATAAACTCAAAGTGGATGAAAGACCTCAATGTGAGACAGGAATCCATCAAAATCCTAGAGGAGAACATAGGCAGTAACCTCTTTGACATTGGCCACAGCAACTTCTTTCAAGATACATCTCCAAAAGCTAGTGAAACAAAAGCAAAAATGAACTTTTGGGACTTCATCAAGATAAAAAGCTTCTGCACAGCAAAGGAAACAGTCAACAAAACAAAGAGGCAACCCACAGAATGGGAGAAGATATTTGCAAATGACACTACAGATAAAGGGCTGGTATCCAAAATCTATAAAGAACTTCTCAAACTCAACATCCAAAAAACAAATAATCAAGTCAAAAAGTGGGCAGAAGAGATGAACAGACACTTCTCTGAAGAAGACATACAAATGGCTAACAAACACATGAAAAAATGTTCATCATCATTAGCCATCAGGGAAATCCAAATCAAAACCACACTGAGATACCACCTTACACCAGTTAGAATGGCCAAAATGGACAGGGAAAGAAACAACAAATGTTGGAGAGGTTGTGGAGAAAGGGGAACCCTCTTACACTGTTGGTGGGAATGCAAGTTGGTACAGCCACTTTGGAAAACAGTGTGGAGGTTCCTCAAAAATTTAAATGACCCAGCAATTGCACTACTGCATATTTACCCCAAAGACACAGATGTAGTGAAAAGAAGGGCCATATGCACCCCAATGTTCATAGCAGCAATGTCCGCATAGCCAAACCGTGGAAAGAGCCGCAATGCCCTTCAACAGATGAATGGATAAAGAAGATGTGGTCCATATATACAATGGAATATTACTCAGCCATCAGAAAAGATGAATACCCAACTTTTACATCAACATGGACGGGACTGGAGGAGATTATGCTAAGCGAAATAAGTCAAGCAGAGAAAGTCAATTATCATATGGTTTCACTTATTTGTGGAACATAAGGAATAACATGGAGGACATATGGAGAAGGAAGGGAAAAATGGGGGGGGGGGAATTGGAGGAGAGATGAACCATGAGAGACTATGGACCTGAGAAACAAACAGGGTTCTAGAGGGGAGGGGGGAGGGGGGATTGGTTAGCCCAGTGATGGGTGTTAAGGAGGGCACGTACTGCATGGAGCACTGGGTGTTATACGAAAACAATGGATCATGGATCACTACATCAAAAACTAATGATGTATTGTATGGTGACTAACATAATATAATAAAATTAAAAACTACAAAAAAAAAGAAAGAGAAAAAAATTAATTTTATCATTGGTTCAGTAATATGGAATTATTTGATACTAAGTAAAGATAAAATACACAAGTTTGTAATTACAAATGTACTTAGTAAAGCAAAAACACAGCATTCTTAATTAGTAAAAGAAAAATCAATGGAACAATAAAAACAGAACTATTACCAAAAAAATAAAAAATAAAAAAAATAAAATGGAAATAAACACGTTTCCATAAGTTACTCAATGGGTAGCTCAACCCAGGTTGAAAGTTTTTTTCTCTTATCTGGCTCTTATCTGTAGTGTTATCTGTACTGTAGTGTTACTGAAAGGTTTTTGTAGGCAATTTATAGAGGAATGAAGACAGGGATGGAAAAGCTATTTTTCTTTAACCTCTCTTGACAATGAGTTTAAGTTGCTAACTCCCACACATCTCCCCCCTCAGGTTCTGCCTAGAGGTTACGGCAACACGTCTGTTGCTTCCAATAATACCTTATTCTCCCTGAACTCAGATTTACCCTGCCTCCACACCTGATTTCCGCTGGAGTTTTGTATTCTTGCACTCAAGGTTCTGCTGGCCGAAGATTCCGAACCACCAATGGTTAGGGTTCAGAGGAAGGAGGTGCTAGCCAAGAGATTATTTGGATGTTCTGATTTGGCTTCACTTTCAACACTTTAGAAAAGTCCTGAGCATGAGTCCGTTTGATTCTGGTACGTCCACTGGTTCCCCCAAATTTTAATTTCAATATAAAAATATTTGTTAAAACTCCATTTACTGTTGCTTTATAAACTGGTTCCATGGGACTCAGCCAGGGCCTTTGGGGCCATTAGGCTGAAGCTAGGCCACGTGGGTAGGACTCAAGAAAACCTCACAAATGTCAGTTTGTAGGCTGATTTACTACATCCCAGGCAGGCAGGAAGTGGTTTCCCTCTAAAGCCATATTTTAAGAACTGGAGAGAACTATTAACTTTAGGGGAAAAAAGGGAACTGGGAAAAACTGGTGATTTTTCTGAAGCCACGGTTCTGTCAGTGCCCTAAGTCACTAATTTGGCTTAGCCCAGATAAAACATCAAAAAGTGCAGTCTGATCCTTCTGTAAACTATTTGCTTTTGTTAATCCAAAATTATTCTAGAAGGTCCTATCAACCCCAACAGCCATACATCGGGGCACTCGGGGCACTCACAGGAGTTATTTTCAGTACGGAGTAACCGGATTTGCTCTGCACTTTCTGGTGATCCCCACCGCCCCCCCGCCCCACCCCCCCCCATGAGAAAGAGATACACACAGAACTTCTGTGGGCTGTTAACCACTGTTTACAATGTTTAGCTTTTATCTGACTTTCCCCGTAATTCTAAGCCGTAGAGGTTTTTAGAAATCTGTGCAGGAGTAGATATCACAAAAGTATTCCAAGAACAGAACCCAACACTCCCATACCTCTTACAATCAGGTCTGCAGCAGCAGAGAGCTTGTCTACACTTGTTTGGACCATGCAGACGTATTTCCCAGCATGCTTCAGCTGGATGTTTCGGATCATCAAATCACCAGCTGAATCCTGCTGATAAAGTAGGGGAAAGTGGTTACAATTACTTTTTAATGAGCTCTAAATATCATTATCACATGAAGGACACTGTGACTAATGGATTTATTTTACACTGGCTGATGAAAACATTAGTGATGCAAGCCATGGCCTATTAAAAATATGTGAACCTGCCTAGGAGATAAGAACACCAACACTTTCAGAACACACCTTGGACAAGACCTTGGGTGTCTGGCTTCTCTGGGTCTCCAGAGCAGGTTGCCACCCAGGTCGGAAGCACTTAAACTTACTTAAGGTGATTCTTGATCTAGTCCTGGGGGTTTTTTCAGATATGCCCTCAACCTGCAGCCTTCACTGGCATTCCAATACTTTGGAACTCTATATTTGGAAAGGGGAGGCAGGCCCACATTTGGAGGCATCTGCATTTTCCTGCGCAACTCTGTCTTACAGCCAGCATTTTGATTGCTCCCAGGTTTGAATTAATAGAGTATGAGGACCACACTCTCCAAGGAAATCTAGCATCACCTAGTGTGGAATGCTGCTAATTTGTTTTTGAAATGCCAAATGCAAGTTTGATTAGCAGATGCATGGGACTGATTACATCCCAGTATGGACTTCTATGTGCCCTAGAAATATTCCTACATGTTCACCAGCATGGTACTTTTAATAAATATGAGACGATGCCTCTACAGTTTATCACAACTAAAGAACATGGCTACACCTTGGAGTTTCATTGTTTCAGGCTCTGTTCATCAAAAGCTTGGATAACAGGTGGCTTGCGTATAAGTGCTCCCTAGAGGTCAGATTCAGGAAGCTATGCTTACTTCAAACCCCACAACAGATGATAAGATAACATAGGTTATGTTGGCCCTGTTGCTATTCTTCCAAATGACAATAATGTTGGATAATGCTTAACAGTATTTAAATATGGGAGCCATATATTAAAGCTAAATACTCACATGTTCTATAAGGTAGGTGCTCCTGTTATCCTTACTTTACAGGTGAAGAAACTCAAGCACAAAGAGGTTGTATGACTTGCCTAAAAATCACTTAGCTAATAAATGGCAGAGCCAGGATGTGAATCCACAAAGTCAGGCCATTCTACCATCTGGAAAGACCTTATTCTCAATCTAATTTAATGTGTACTTAATTCCCTTTGTTTTAGAGCAATATATCACAAATCCATCCGGGACAATGGAAAACCTGGAACTGCCAATAGTTGTAAATAAGTTTAGAAGAGAGCCTCAAGCATTCAGTGAAGGGAGAGCTGATGTTTAGGTACTCAGTTGTCTTGGGCTGATCCCTGCTGTGAGATTTCATGTAAGTCTCTGGGTCTTAGTTAACTGACCTGTGAAAGAAGGATGCATTGTCCACTGCGTGAGGTTGTGAGAATCAAATGAGACTGTATGTATACGTGAAATCCTGAAAACTGGGAAGCACAGAGTTAATTTAAATTGGTATTATTGATGACCACAAGTATCAGGTCAAAAATATTAAATCTAACTCAAGGAGAGCTGTGATTTTTATTTATTTATTTATTTTTACCAGGAAGCTGTTTTATTTATAACACTTGGGTTCTCATTCAGATTCTATTTACTAATCAAGTCTTATAATTGCTCAGTAAAATAGGATAATAATTGCTACCCTATTCTGCAGGCTTTCTGTGAGGATTAAAGAGCTGATAGACATGAAAGTGCTTGATAAATGATTAGGCGCTTTGCAAATATAAAGGATCATCACCATCATAATTAATACTTCTTTACCTAAGACATTCATGTGGTTAGGACTCTTGAGTATAGGTTTAAACAAAAAAATATGCCTCACAAGGAGGTATGTGCAGGGAAGGTGGAAAGCCGTGTTTGTTTTAAAGAAATGGGTATACTATGTCGATTATCCATTTCATTCACCAAGGGATTAAAGTCAGAATAAACCAGTTGTAGCCTGGAAATTTCAGAGTACAACAATGTATTAACAGAATGTGCTGTCTTTATTTACAGATTTGGATCACAGTTGTGTTTTTAAAGTGAAACTGAAACAAAGAAAAAAATAAAGTCAGGATTGAAGTAAGAGTCTCACAGAAGGAGACCACAATCAACTTTCTTTTTTCCTTTGAAGTCATCCAGATGAAACAGTTTACTGAGATCTACATTCGTGTTCCTACCAAAGTGAACAAAACAGTACCAGCTTATTTTTTCTTGTTGTGGTCTGTTCTGTTCCTGACAGAGCACTTGGAGGCCATCAAAGGACAAGGGAATAACAGCTTTTCTGAAAATTGCAACAGGTTGGTTCTACCAAGCATCCCTTCCACCATGCTGACCCAGGAAGCAGAAACTGAAATGGCTTGCAGCATTGCTTCCTTCCCTCTTCTGCTGTCAAGTTCTACCGCCATAGACATTAAAGATCCTGGGGGCTAATACACCGATTTCTCACAATTTGTAGTGCTGTCCTGAATTTTGCACTTCTTAGCAATAACTGATGGGTATTAGCAAGAGTTTCACAGAAGAGACGAGCTTTTCCCATATGAGATGCTAATGGCTGTGATTCCACAGACAGAGCTCTCTACAAAAGGTGGTCATTAGTGCTTGACTCCATTAGGGGTGTCCCCACCTGTGCCTCAGCCAGTCCAGCATAAAATCCACATCTGACTGATAGGGCATCTATTTTGATCGGTCAGGCAACTGTTCTAATTGGTTGGTGACTGTGCCATTCTGGGAGATAATATTTTTAATATCTCTCCTGGCCAAGACATTGGTCTTAGCATGAAAACTAATATTCTGCTTAATCTATGAAGGTTTTCTCAATTTATACTTTCCTGTTATTAAAATCCATGTTATTCTTCCTTCAATTAGCAAAACTATTAAAATTTATCAAGTACTACTTTTGTGGAAGGCATTAGGTTATGCACTTTTCTAGACCTGAAGGTATTTAATATCTTCAATGCCCTTGTGAAATTAATATCTCTCCCACTTGGTGATTAAGCTGAATCATATCAAAGAAGTCCAGAATGCTTAATATTGGCAATTTCATCCAGGCTTTCTCAACCAGGATTCCAAGAGTGAATCCCTCGTGACCCAAGGCATCCACTGATGTAATAAACTAACTTCTCTCCTATGTATCTAAAATATTACCAGTTATATATGATCTTTGGAAAAATTGAGAAAATGTTCAGATTATTCTTGGTGTTCCGTGAGAGACATCATTTGAGAAAGGCAGCAAGAATGTAATTAACAGAATAGTATTATAGTTGAGTGGAAAACAGGCCCTCAACATATCATACAGATAATTTTATAAGCTTTAGCCCACTTATTCTCAACATAAGGGGGAGGGGAGGCAAAATGAAGAGGACAAATTAGATTCCTATGGCAGAGGAATTGGGAGGGCTTTTTTCAAGTCATAGCCTCATTTTTATTTTCTTCTGTCTTTGGTTGGACCCTTCCATGAGCATGGCAGCCAGAGTGAATCTTTATTACTAATGGGAATGTACGGCAGTATTAGGGTAAAAAAATTTTTTTTGAGAACAATTGTGATAGATACAGATTGTTTCCAGATTTAACCTCATCTTGGTGTGTATTCAATGGTAATATGTATTTTTATGGAAAGGAAGGCATTATGAAAATTCAAACATTTGAATTCAAAATTACCTGGAGATATTAAATACCCTGATCAGACTTTCAGATTCAAGAAAGAGAGCCCTAATGTCACAATGAGACTTCTATAAGAGCCAAGCAGAGTTTAATCAGCAGCCTAAAACCACATGAGTAAACTGTCCTTAAGATATTTTCTTAATCATGTGCTATGATATATGGTATTGCGTGGAGCACAGAGCCAGGGATTTGAAGTTTTTTTTTTTTTTTTTTAAGATTTTATTTATTTATTTGACAGACAGAGACACAGTGAGAAAGGGAACACAAGCAGGCCTCCCGCTGAGCCGGGAGCCCAATGTGGGGCTCGATGCGGGGCTCCATCCCAGGGTCCTGGGATCATGTCCTGGGCCCAAGGCAGATGCTTAACGACTGAGCCACCTAGGCGCCCCCAGGGATTTGAAGTTTAAAGCTGAGTTCCACAGTTTAGGGCTTTGAGGCCAAGGTAGACCATACATTTCCCCCCGAGCTCTAGTTTCCTGATTCATACATAGTTCGGAATAACTAGCCTATAGCATTGTTGTGGGGATGCAGAGGACTGTCATCTAGGGTTACTCAGTAAGTGGGGCCGCACTGATCAGGCAAAAAGGAGCAGGAATTAACCAAGAATTTCTTAAAATCAGGTGTTGGAACAAGATCAAGAATAACCTTATATTTCGTTTCAAGTTAGTCTAAACAAGTTGAGTCACTTTGCAGAAGTTCAGTGCATACTCAATTTCCTATAGACAGTTTGATATTAATACTTACCCCTCCAACTCTTTCAAAGTGGTCCCCATCTTTGTCAAAATCTATCAGGTGTCCATTAAATGACCAAGTAAACACGATGTCTAGCGAGTGATCATGTGTTACCTGGCAAGGCAGAACAATACTTTCTCCAACAGTGACATCCATGCTGGAAGGGGGTACCATCACCCTTGTTGGATCTGTGGGTGAAAACAAAGGCAAATCATTAACAAAGCCTGTGAGCTTGTGTGGAAGTAAAACATAGAATCCAAGAGCAGGATGAAATACTAAGTAGTTTTGCTTTATTTTTTCTTAGGCTGTGACCAGTAAACCTCAGTCATCTGGGAAGCTGAGCTTCAGGCCAGGAGGTCATTTTTAATATGAAAAGATGAAAACATTCATTATGTGAATCTTCACAGAGCAACAAAACTCAGCTGGGGAGCACTGAGGTTAGATCTCTGAAGACACTAATGGAAGGGCCTACTTCTGACAGCCTGCTTGGAAACTGCCTCTTTAAAAAGGTTTTCATATCTCCCCAGTGTCACTAGAAAGCAGTAATTCAGCTGAATACTAACAGGAGAAATCCATGTTAATTTGAAGTTTGTTTGGCTCCCCCCTACCTTATTATAAAAGTGATAAATGTTTAGCATGGGAAGTTTAGGAAATTTAAGAAAGTTAAAAGAAGAGACCAAAAAACAAACAAAACAAAACAAAACAAATCCTACTTACTCTCCTTACTGTCCAGATAAAACGTCTTTTTTCATTTTGATGTAATTTCCCTCTGTCTTTTTGGTTTATAGTTTTTCAAGTTGTTTTGTTTTGCATTCTTATAACATGATACACATGATTTTCCTTTTTTCTCTAGTTAATATAATACAGGTTTATATCTTTATCTACATATTTTTATAATCTGCATAATGTACTATTAAGTTTATAGTCTCAACCATTTTGAAACTAAGACATTTTAGCAAATTTTTATAAATATAATATAAAAATGCTGTAATGAACTCATTGACAAAATTATATATATTTGCATATTACATCTTTAAAATAAGTACTAATTCGCTTTTAAATTCACCCTTTACATTATGATTTTAATTGAAAAGGAAATGGGCTTGTTTAGCTGAGACAGTTTATAAACCCTAATCCTACACTGACGTGCCGATGATCTTTTATTTTTTCACTGCAATATGATTTCATAAAATGTTGTCAGAATACAACGGTGAAAAGAAATTTGAGTTAAATATAAAGGTCATATAAATACCTAAAGAATGAAATTCTGAATTCAGCCATATTCCAGAAATTTCTCTGCACTAAACCAAATCAAACAAAACCAACTAAACAAACCATAACAAAGAAGACAAATCAAAAGCAAACAAAACAATGAAAGAACATTGATTAATACCCTTCTATACTCACAGGATTATATTTCAGGCTGTGGGGTATATAAATATTTATTAAGTGTATCTCCTCGATTAAAATCTCAGTTGGAAATTTTGAAATGATGTCTCATAGGACATGTTTGATGGGTCTTACTTTCCAGCAATGCATACAAAAACCTCCTCTTTAAAGAGAGTATTTAAAAGAGTTTTTCTGCCCTTTTAACCAACTATGGAAAGCACACATTTCAAGTCATTAGAAAAGGAAAGTCTGTGTCCATAAACAGATTATCAGCTTGGAGTGAAATATACTTTTGCTGTTTTCCAAAACTAGGAAAAGATCATAAATGGACTGCTTGTGCTTTCACTCATTGCCGTATGAGTGAAGTTCATGAAAAGAGAAGGTAAAAACAGGTATTTTCAGCTAAGAGATGATGGGAGGGAAAATCCTTTATTTTAAAACCTGAGGCTTTTACAAGTCACATAATCAAAATTTGCTCTAGTGATTCACTGATCTGCAGGTATAGATACAGATTGAGATTTTTTTTTTTTAAATGAGGGAAGGAATTGAGAACAAAGCACTTTAGAATAATTTTTGCTTTTAAAATTTAAATTTTCCTCATCTATAGAATGAAGACTGGAACGAATTATTCCTGGCCAAAATCATATGTGTGTATGGTTTTTACTCAGTGAGATGTTGCCTAATTCTCCTTTAACTACCTGTGTACTGATTTCACAATTTAGATTCTTATCTTAAAGAACATTCATTTGTTGATTTATCCACCAAGCGTGTAGTGTGTGTTGCATGGATCACAGTGCCTTGGTAGCCAAAGAGATATAAAAGAGAATGAGGGAATGAAAACATTCATAATAACTAGCTGAGCCCCTTACATTCCAGACACTGTGTTAAAACTTTACATTTATTCTTAACAAATAGGTATTATTATCATCTCTACCTAATGGATGAGGGAAACTGATGCCTAAGAGTGTTTAAAAGGAACTATCTGCTGTGCTGAGCTGCATCCTTTCATTTAGCTGAAAACATGATATCCATTCACAAATCATCCAGAGACCAAGTCTAAGGGCATAATATAGCAATTTGTACTCTTGCTTATATACAGTCCACTTAAGATATTTAAATGCAGAAGAAATTCAGAGAAGGCCGTGGGGTGAAGACAGTTTCAGAGGGTTTCACTGCAAGAGTAATGAAGTTACTGCCTTAAAAAGGTAAAAAGTAGCGATGACTTCATGCATAAAATGCTGGCTCTAGCTCTAAGCCTACACATCAAACTCCTGAGAGCAGAGTCAAATGTCCAGGCTCAAGTCCTTAAAAATGTCTTGGCTTCCTATCTCCTGACAACTTTTGGGTGAGCAGCAAGGAGTTGGCACATATTCCAAAGCCTGGAGTCATTTGCAATTCTGGCTCACATTTTTTTTTTGTTTGTTTGTTTGTTTTAAAGATTTTATTTACTTGAGAGAGAGAGAATGAGAGAGAGAGAACACATGAGAGGGGATAGGGTCAGAGGACGAAGCAGACTCCCCGCCGAGCAGGGAGCCCGATGCGGGCATCCATCCCGGGACTCCAGGATCATGACCTGAGCCGAAGGCAGTCGCTTAACCAACTGAGCCACCCAGGCACCCCTGGCTCACATTTTTAATTGACATTTGTTTCCTGAAGAAATGTTCATTCCTTTATGCACATGTAGGGAGTGGGGACAGATCTTATTATTAGTGAACTCAGTTGCCTGTTAACCAAGAACTGGAGAAGTTCCCTAAATCAAGGATTATGCTGGTCCGGTCTGTGCTGACAGCTGCTAATTCATGAATTTAGCACTTATCACCGATTCCTGTTCTGAGCTCCGAGGGAGCAAGAATCAAGGCAAGGCAAGTCATGCAGGATACACACACCAGAGAGGTCTCCTTGGGACTAGAGAAGATTAAACTAAAGAGGTTGAAACCTCATTATCTACTTGGTTTTCTCAAATTGCATGCCTGTTCAGTACTCCTGTTTTCTGTGTTGTGAATTCTGATGCTTTTTATTTGATTAATTTCCTTAAATTTGAATACAAACGCTGTACACAAATAAACAGATGGCTTCTTCAAAACAAAACTGTCTCCCCTCCTTGGGTTTTAATTCATCAAGATCAGGAAGAACCTATATTTACGACTTCTGTTCTGAAGAGTCACTCCAGCTATTGTTCTGTGCATAGAACTCTCAAAGGCAATTAGGACTCGAGATGTGAATTGATGTCTGGATTTGGATGTAATTAAATACCAACAATAAATATGATCAACGACATCCCTAAACTTTTCTGCTTGTGGTTGGTTCATCCTGCAGAGAATGATAAAATCAGAACTCCAGAGGACTGATGTTTAAAATGTATATATTTGGGGCGCCTGGGTGGCTCAGTCGGTTGGGCGACTGCCTTCGGCTCCGGTCGTGATCCTGGAGTCCCGGGATCGAGTCCCGCATCGGGCTCCCTGCTTGGCGGGGAGTCTGCTTCTCCTTCTGATCCTCTTCCCTCTCGTGCTCTCTGTCTCTCATTCTCTCTCTCAAATGAATAAATAAAATCTTTAAAAAAAAATAAAATAAAATGTATATATTTACCAAGTGTTTAACCCTCCTAGAATAAAATAAAAAAAATACTCATGTTCTACATTGTTTCCTATAATAGATAGAGGACAGAAAGTACACTAAGTGCTTTGTTCTCGAGAGCAGGACAACCATGAGAGAGAGAGAGAGAGAAAATTATTAACAACTCTGTTAACGATTAGGTCAACAATTTGATGCATAAATTACAATACTTATTATCCAAGTTATATTATCTTCTGACTTTCCCTATTGGTGGAAAAGCTTTCTGATCTAGGGCTTTTATTATCTATAAAAACAAGTACCTGTGGGTTCACAGGACAAGAATTCTATTTTGATTTTGCTTTCCCTATACAATACCAACCCTTCCTTTTAGTTGGTAAATACTTTCACTCACAGTGCCAAGGTATTCACTCGGTAACTATCAGGAAAGTACTTAATGTGTGTCTCATTGCTCTTCGTTTACAGAAAGTATGCATCTCCTTTTGTTAGTGACTTTCTTTACTGTAATGGTTTTGATGATGCCTTTGAGTCAGGTTGTGTCTTCTTTTTTATATTAATTTTTATAGATGGAACTTTAAAAATGGGATTCTTCAAAAACAGGAGCTAGTCAAAGAGCTGACAGCTCACCTGAAATGGCGCAAGGGGGAGTGGTCAGAGAACTATTTTTAATAGTAGTTAAATGCCACAACAAAGATGGTGGTTTAATTTTCATAAAAACCTGGAGGTAGCATCCTAGAGATGAATTTCCACTCTCTGCATTGGTCCCATTTTTTGAATAAAAATAAAACCTGTGTTGGATGAACTATATCTACCAATTTTGCATAAAACACACATAAAAGGAATACCCTAAATATGAGATGAAATTCAACTTCCACAGTGATTTCAAGCTGGACCAATTCTTTCATTTAGTATGAAATGTAATAGGGATAAAGGTAAAAGACTACACTTAAAAAAAACAGCTACGAAGGTACAGGCTAGAAGAAGACTGTATTGGCAGCTCACGTGGAAAAGACTTGAACATCTCAGTGTCAGCAGGGTTTGTGAAGTTGCCCCAAAAGCTAATGCAATCTTAAGTTGAACAGATAGCGTGTGGTATTTCGTCTTAGGTAAAAATCCCATTGTATTTTGCATTAATGAGACCACAGCTTGGCTAGGAACATCTTTTGGATTCACTGGCAAATTAGTGCACCTAGGTTAGTGAAGCACATAACAAATCTGTAATGGCTAA